ATATAGTTGAAGGGTCGGGGAAAAGCGATGTAGCCCTAGAGAACCTAGGACAATTGGTTTAACAATTTTATCAGAAAAAACGATATTTACTGTACCAAGTTCAAAAAGCTTCTCCTCATTTATTCGTTTTCAATTTCACTCTTCCTTTACCTCGGGGTGGTATTTCCAAGCAATCTGCACCACATGTAACTTTCTCCAGCCCAGCGCTATTTTTCTTTTCTACCTCTTTTGTTTGCTTGGTAAATTTTCTACCTAAATTGTATTTTTGTTTTTGTGTGCCTTAAACTAAAATTTTATAACATAATCCTATTTTAAGGGGGGGGTAAGGTATTAAAATTTTTTTTTTTTCGATTTTTTTTTTATTTTTCTAATCGAATGCATAATATCTCAAGAAGATTGTGTTAAAATTTCAAGTCGATCGGGGCAAAATTGACGAAGTTATGAGTATTTCAGCGTCCGTTGCCAGCCTGAGGTTTTATACCTGAGCAACAGATGCGCGACGGCCGGACGCTGACTCATCCGGCCCAAACAGGCCTGTTCAGGTAAAGTCAAGTATATTCTGCTCTAGATCATCTTGATGGAAGCCTTTTGCTCTACGGACCTGGCATCGACGACTCTGTGTGAGTATAAAAAAATTGTCGAATTTTATCTTGAATACTTCAGTACGCAAAACTTTAAAGCGTTTTTCTGAGACTTGTCATTTTTGAAGTCCGTGCCCACCATAACTAAAAATCTACTGGACCAATCGTTTTGAAATTTTGCACAGTGTTTCTTCACATAATTCCCCAGGTATTGTCGAGAGCTTTTTTTTTTTTTTCAATAATTATCAATTTTACAACAGCAAATTAGCCGTTTTTTTTTAGCGAAAATCTGGTTTTTGGCTTCCAAGTGCTACGAAAAATCGAAAAATCGAAAAAAAAAAAAATCCTTTCGTGAATACCTCGACAAACATCTCCTTTAACGAATGCATTTTGATTTTTTTGTTTCTGATGATTTGGCTGCGAGTTATGATGGGCACCGCAAAACAACTTTTTCTCGAGGCGCCTCCGGAGATTCACTGTCACTCACTCAATTTTTGATATTTTGCAATGAAAATTTAGGAGAATATTGTTCTAATGTTACATTATCATGTATGGATCGACTGAATAAACTAACACCATCTGTATTGCCAAAAAAAAATCTTGAAAACATGCCTTTTTTTTACCGAATTAACCTTACCCCCCCCTTAAAATTAAAAATAAAATATATTTATAAACATGTATTATAATAAATTTATAATGAGGTATTTTTACCATTACCATACACACAATGTTTTAAAAAACCCACAAGGGCGTAAAACGTTGTTTAAACTGTCCAGATAAAAGATTGTTTGTGTTCACTTCCTCACCGAATTCATTAAGCAAAAACAAAAGTCTATTGAAAAAATGCTCTTTACTTTTAAGAAAATGTTTAGCCACTTTATCACCGGCTTCTGGGATGATCTGGGCCGGCACACAATGGGCAAAATCTAAAAAGTGAATGAAGCTGTCCTGCGTCTATTGTTATGCTTAATAGTTTTTCTTCATTACAGTGAAGCCCAAATTTGATTTAAACTAACCAATAACAAAATATACAATGACAAATGTTATTTTTTTTAAACTCCTAATGGTCTCCTTCAATCATTTTTATGGTTTAATTTTTTTAAATTATCTGGGACAGTTCAAATAGTCTAAAAGATGGTTAATATCCATATTCTAGACTATTTGAACTATCCATTGGACATCATAATTAAAATTTAATAAAATAAATTTAAAAATTTAATCCATGTCAGACTTTTAGTATGGGATCGTTCCATTCGCCAAGTTGGTGTGACAGTTTCGATGGTTAAGGCCCTTACCGGAATTTTGTCGCCGGGCCGGGCCATACGCCTGTTTTATATTAGTGGAGTGCAGGACAACATTTTGGTTTTTAGTAATACCTCTATTTAATTGGGGTTTATGAATGGGCCTTGGTTGGTTAGTTCGCTGCTTGGACCTATCCGTGCTGGTCTTGTAGTACTACCTGTTTGTTTCCGTCCGTGTCTGAAAAAATTACTGTGCTGAGAATTCGGAAACTGCTGTACGCAAATTGTTTGCCTCACTGAGCGAAACCATGTCTTCCGTCTAGGGTCGAGAACTATCGATGGATAGTTTTAGGTAGTCGGCAATCCACAAGTCCCCAAACGTTGGACCACATTCGCCGTGTTATTGCCGATATACAACTCCAGCTGCTCCAAAAATTGGTCGAGAATTGGACTTTAATCGGCGCTCATATGCTCAAATGCTTAAACATAAGTACTTAAGTGTTCAACATAAGTACTTAAGTGTTCATAAGTACTTAAGTGTTCAACACATTAACAATACAGTTGAATGTGCAAATAGAATGTTGAGTTTGTGATTAGAAACTCTAAACACTTTACTAATATTCACGCTATAAAATGTTTATTTTTTGCATTTGTTCGAAGTAAATTTGAGTATGCATGTGTTATTTGGTCACCATTTTACTTTGTTCATATCGATAATATTGAAAGAGTTCAAAAGAGATTTTGTAAATACTTGTTTTTTTAAGATTAATTATCCTTTAATAGATTTTGATTATGAAACTGCACTTTTTTACCTTAATATGGAAAGTCTTGAAATGCGTCGTCGAAATGCAGGAATAATTTTTTTTTTTTGTATAAGCTAATTATTGGATTAATATTAGACCCTGAACAACTACTTAAAATCAATATTCAGGTGCCTAGAGTAAATGCAAGATTTTGTCCAACTTTTAACAACTAGCACATGCATGCTCTATTGACGTCGATGTGTAGAACTTAAAACCAAATTTTGAATAATTGTGATATTTTTAACCATAATTTAAATTTATTTGTTCGAATTATTCGCTCATTACCCTAAGTTGTTTTATTTATGTTATTTTGTCCTAATTAGCTATTTTAAATTTGTCAACATATAACTGTAATTTGTCACTGTAACCTAAATAATTTATATGCTTCATATGAGGAGCATCCATGCAAAACCGGCTATATCCACTTTAATAAAATGTTGGGAAAATGGCAAAAACTATCGGTTTCCTGGCCTTTACAGATAAAAGAATAAGCAAACTTGAGTTTTGTGGGCTTTGTGGTAGGTACTTGATGTATAAGACATAGGTACTCTCGTTTTCAAAGACTTTATATTAAGGCCAAAATTTTAAAAAATGTTTTGTATATAGCCGGTTTTGCTCAAAAACCGAATAAAATGTGAAAAAAAAACCTTTATTATTCAAAAATATTAACAAAATAAATTTAGTGCAAACATGAAAGAACAAATTTTAGTAGTAGTATCGACATATCCAAGTCACATGCTCATCATCATTAATATTTATCGGATATAGCCGGGTTTGCTATAAAAACGTGGATTTGGCCGGTTTTGCACCTAAAGCTACCTTTTAAATGTGATTTTAACATGGATATAGTCGGATTTAAACAGAATTATCTTGGTTGTCGATAGAAATGAACCCAAAGATGCGAAATAAAAAAAAACTAAATAAAATGGATTTAGCCGGTTTTGCACGGATGCTCCTCATATGGACTGTTGTCTGTTGGTTTAATAAAGTTTTATTATTATTATTTCCAAGAAATCTAAAACCATGGCCATTACCATAATTTGTGTGTGTTGAATTTCGATTTAAAAATTTTCTTTTATATTTCTTATGTGTTTTTTGATAGAGCACTTTTAATCCGAGCGTGTCAATATCTTCAATCTTGTTAAATATGGCGATTGCGCCGGGATAGTAAATTTGGAAAAAAAGGTGGTAATTAAAAATACCGATACATTTTTATGTTTCTATTATTTTATATTTTTAATTTCTATAATGACATCAATAATTATAATTTTATATGTAACAGAAAAACTTCAGCAGAATTACGTAAAGCAGCGATTTAGTACTTATACGATAATAAGTATGCCATCACTTTTATGAGGAATTCAGACCAAAGTTCTTTTTAGTGATCAAACAGATTCATTGATCAATTACATATATATTTTTTAAAATATAGAAGAAAACAAATTAAATTCACATCGATAAATCTAAATTGTAAATGTATCTATTATTTAATTTAATAGTTTTGAACCTTCTCAAAATGCATATATTTGACTGATCACCACCAGGACGGATCAGCCAAATTTGAGCCCCATGCATTCTGTGAAGGTTTGCAAGTTTTACGTTGGTCGTCACTTCCTGGACAATGCGATCAACGTTCACACCGCCAAAAACAAACAAACCTGCCGTGGTGTTCTGACTTCCAGCTCAATATGAACCGCCGAAGCGGATCCGCATACTTTTATTTTCAATTATTTTGGATCAGCCGGTTCGGGAGAAAAACTTTCAGTGGCTTTACTTCTTTAACGTCTTAGTTCAATACCAACTTTAATTGAGCCCAAACCCGTATAAAATCCCTTCTCGTAACTTGCAATTTCGTCCTATAGGTGCAACTTTTTGCTTAATGAAAAGTGGTCTCCGGAAACCTGGCTGATCGTTTCTTTAGTATTTTGGTATTTGGTTTTGGTACCACAAAATAATTGTGGGAGTGTTAGTACTACTCGTACCGTACAATTTTATAAATCAGGTATTTGATTTTTCTCATAAATAAACTTTAAAAACTACAACATATCTAAAGTACATGACTTGTACTTTTAAATAAACTATTTAAAATTAAATAAACCGCAATTCTATTCAGTTTATGAATTTACCATTAGTTTGGTAAAATACCATACTATAACGTAATAATCATTACAGATTACAGTTAAATACAGTATGTAATACATTTCGTAAAAGCAATAAAACAAACAAAGAAAATATAAATAAACACTAGTACAAAGTAATATCCGAACGAAATCGGTAACTGTCTAATAAGTATAAAGAGAACAATAATAAAACATTCGACACAAATAAAACAACAGCACTAAAGGTTAATAAACCATGAGGTGGCCATAAAATACTTAAAACGTGGTGTTGTTTGGATCTGTTGGTGATTCGCCATCGTTTGATGGCAGGGGTGCCAACTGCGCTCCCGGCGACACCAGCATCGTGGGTTCCGTATTGCGCCTCTTCATTTTACCCTTCATTTTCTTTAACATCGTGGCCTGGAGAGGGGCGCACACACTCATTAGGTTAATCATTATTATATAACACACTCTTTTAAAATACATACGCAATATTTATAATAATAATTATATTAATTATAAATCTATAGTATAACATAAGAGACCGGATTTTATGCAATTTTGAAGCCTTTTTGGGTTAAAAAAACCATATTATACATTTGATATTAAATTATAGTTTTCATTAATTTATTCTTTAGCATATTTATTTTATAAATTTGTTAGTTATTTTTTACAAACAAATTTAAAAATAGATGGGCTAAAGAACAAAACATAAAAATACCTTAATGCCAAATGTTTACTTGTACAAGTAACTGTCTTAACAAACATTAATTATTATATTCGAAAACCAGTCTAAAACATCTTTTTTGCTTAGTTTTTTGTCCGCTTTATTGGTTTTTCTATTTGTATTTGTATATTTTAGAGAATATAAAGTTAAAACTTGAAACAAAAAAGTCAAACTTCAAATTCTTTAAATTGTAAGAAATCTTTTTTAAATATCCAGTTTTAAGTAAAAGTTTTTTGGCTTGGAAGTTTCCTTTTTAGATAAAAGTCTGTTAACCCTAAAAATGCCTTTTTGGCCTTAAAAGTAATTTGATATAAAATCGTCAATTTATTTTTCAAAAATTTCGCCCTCTAGTGTACAAAATAATTAGTTTTTGATTATTTTTTACCATATTTCATTTTAAAACTCCGGTCTCTATATGCTATCTACTGAAACAAATTGGAAAAGCAATTTAGAACAAATACATTACGACCAAGCAAAATTACATGCCAATGAACAAAACGCTATGGAAATTTAAAATAATACATAATAGTTAGAATGTGAATAAGTGGTGTGTTTTAAAATGGATTAAATTGGGTGGGTTGGTTCTATTCATCGGTGCTCTTGCCCCCCTCCCCATTGGCGGGTAGAATGTTCGGTTCGGTAGGCCGACGCTTGAACTTATTTTTCTTCAGCATAGTCGCCTGTTACAATGAATGAATCTATTAAGTGTGTACAACATCTAGACAGGTGGAACATTAAACAATGATCAACAAGGCTGATTTACTCCATCACCAATCAGATTTTAACCCATGGATAAAAACCTGATTGTTTATGTAGTGTAAATTCGCCTTAAAAACGCCAAATCTTGCGGGTTTTTAGCTTTCTACTACTTAAAATCTTTTGCAAAAAGATTCTTGCAGATTTCTTAAGCATTTAAGCATTTTACAGTGTGTTATTACTATTATATTCAACTTAGGATGGAACCTGGTTAAGTGAACAAAAAATTGATTGTTTTGAATCTTTTTATTTTTTTATGACACAAAATGTTTATTTAAAATTTTAAATCATAAAATGAAAAATATTGGGAAAGATTAAAACATGTTGTCGTTATCGAGTTTTAAAATAACAATATAATTAATTTAAATGGTGTTCCGAAAAACTTGAGTAGTTTTTGTGTTAGGGTTTTTAATTAAGTTATATTTTTTATTTAAATGTTTTATGACAATTTATTAATATCGAAAGGTTGGAAAAAAATTTAATATAATTATTGAAAAATTGAAAAATTATTTAGCGTTAAGTTGTGATTATTTTGCTATTTAAATGTAAGGGTAATTTTAAAATAATTTAAATATTAAAAATAAATTATTGGTAGGTACTTAACATAAACTATATACAAAATACAAGTTTTAAGTTTACACTGTAAACAATGTCAAGCCAACCTTTATTTTTTGGTTTATTTTTACAACTGCTATTTTATGTTGTTTATTCTTATCTTATGACATAATCAGTGACATTGTTGCAAACACATTTTAAAGATTAATTTTTTAATATTATTAACTGAAAATAAATAAATTAAAAGGTATTTAGTTCTGGTAACTAGGCTCCCTCCTTAAAAATATGCAATATTTTTTGTAATATTTAAAAAATCATAGTGTTAATTGTTTTGCTGCCTTAATAGCAAATTTGTGTCAAGCTAATATTTTTATTTAATGTTTTAGCTTTGGGGAAGGGGTCTTTATTTTGCATGCAAGATTTATAATGTAAACTTTTATTAAACTATACTTAATTATACAGTGTACATAGAGAAAAGATAATGAGTCGTGATTTGGTTAAAAATAAAAAGCAACCATGATCTAAAAATATGGTTTAGAATTTTTGCAAATTTAGGTACCTACTAGTTCTAGAAATATTGGCAAGAGACATGGCCGCATGCAAAAAACTTTTTATAAAAAGTACCATACGCTGTATGTCTGTAATTTTAAATCGCTAAAAGTAACTTCTAGTTTATAAATTATATTTTTAATTTTAATCATTGTTTAAATTAACAGGTTGACTACAATATGTTTATTTTAATAAACAATTAAAGATTATAAATATTACTTGGATTCTAAAAAGAAATAAATACATTATTTTAACACTTATGATATTTTGTAATACACGTTAAACCAAATAAAATCTTTTAAATTTAATACAAGGTCAGACGATTGGAGACAGTAGGCTCACGGGGGGAAAAACTCAGGGCATGCAAGGGCCTGGACTGAGACTATCAAGAAGGAATGCAATGCCAAAGATGTCTACCCCCCTTTAGAAGATATAAAGTGGTTTTCCCTTTCAGAAACGACGGGAGCGACCCTGACCCAGGCTTTCTCAAACCGGAAGTGCTCATCTGGTACACAGACGGGTAATGAAGGAAGGTGCAGGAGCTGATGTATATGGGGTGCGACCTGGGGCGAGAATAAGCTTTGTACTAGGTCGATACCCGACGGTATACCAGACTGAAATCTTCGCCATCCTGATATGCGCCCAAGAGAATCTCCAGAGAGTCTACTCGGGTAAACATATCTACATATGTAGCGATAGTCAAGCAGCACTCCGGGCTGGGTCAACTCGAGGCTTACACTGGACTGCATAAAAACCCTCGAATTACTCAGTGTTCTCAACAAGGCATCAAAGGCAACGAGGAAGCAGACCAGCTGGCTCGTGAGGGCAGTAACACGGCCCTTTTGGGGACAGAACCTGTCATAGGGGCCGCGTCCTGTCTGGTAAAGCCAAGATCAGGAACTGGACTAACGACCAGTTCCAGAACAAATGGCGTGAACAACAATGCCTCAGGTAGTTAAGGGTCTTTATAAAGAGACCTACTACATGCAAAGAGACAAAAAGATTCGTGAAACTTAACAGGAACCAGTTAAGAGCCAGGATACACCCAAAGAACCTACACAAAACCGGACTTAGCAACGAGACGGATTGTAGGTACTGCAGCGAAGTAGACGAAACTACCGAGTATATAGTCTGCGAATACGACGCTCTAGTTAATAGTAGACTAAGACACTTAGGGGACAGATGTTTGGAACCAAAGGAAATAATGCATGCCTGACCAGAACGGGTCTGCGCTTTTCTTAAAAGCTGCGGGCTCGTAAGGTAAGGTAGGGCTTCACCAAAAGGTGGTTTGCACAATGGACCTTAAGTGCTGCCTGCAAAGGCTCCTCTTCAAATCAATCAATCAATATATTGGCGATTGATTTAAACTACATTTATCTATTCAAATGAATTATTTACATTTATTAAAAAAATGTTATCCAAACACCGATCGTCGATAAAATTTTAGACATTTGTATTTTAATATATTATGGAGACAGCAAATACTGCAAATTTGAATTTATTTGAAAAATATGAGAAACAATATGAGCATTTTGAAAACTGGTGCCACAACAAAGTATTTGCGGATTTGCAGAAAACATTAAAGAAATACGAATTAAATTCAGACTAATGTCATTTATAAAAAAAGCAAAATGAAAGATAACGACAAAAAAAGAGTTTTAATATTTATATAAGGAACCCTTGATCAAATATACCTCATTTTTGTGCTAGGTGCTTGTGAGAAAGGTAATGATTGATTATATAGAGGATAAAGAAAATTAATAGTCAAAATTCCTGACAATAAAAATATCACTTTGAGAATCTTTGCTATAAGTCCCGGTACACCGGGACAGGTCACAAGTTTCATGGGCTTTGTCTCGGTTTGGGATTTAAATGTCCCGGTCCACTCAACTTGATATATTTTATTTATTATCAGCTATTAAACGCATGTGGCAAAATGTGGCAACCAGTAAAAAAATTCTTGCTGAACAAAAGCCACCCAAACTGTTGGTGGACTTCTTTTCTCATCCTCTTTTTGAAGCGTATTTTTAATTATTGCACAGACAGTTATTTCTGTTTGAATAAAAAATTAAAAAAATTAAAAAACACAACCTTAACGAAGGTTATATTATAATAAGTTAATTGAGGGTTACTTTTTTATGTTGTAGTTTAAACGAACTTATTCAACATCTAGAAAGCACTCTGTTTGAGCAAAGTAAGTCAAAATTTCTTGGGATCCAGATGAAAAAGGTGTAAGACAAAATAAAAAGTACCCCTCAATTTACTGATATTATAAAGATTTGACGACGAAATTAAGCATTATTATAAAACAGTATTGGAATATTGATATTTCAAAATAAGAGACCAGAAGGGAAATAATTTGAAAAATCTATATAGTATTTACTAGAAAAAGGTATATCCGCCAATGAATTGTTTTGAGAAAGTATTGTATTTCTTCAGCGCTAAACTTGAAATTGATACAGTGTGGAAAGAAAAATTTAGTTTTGATGTGCCAATTTTAGTATGCAGTTCCCGGCCATAATGCGAGTGTTGAAAATTTTTTTTCTTTGTTAGTTTCACAGTGAAACAAAGAGCAAAATAGGCTTTTTATAGATACTGTTAAAAGTATAATGTTTTTCAAAGAAAACGACTATATGACTTGTTCAGAACTTTATGTGTATTATGTGAAAAGTAAAGCGGAACTATTAAGACAAGTAAACAAATATAAAAAATAAGATTGGAACATAAAAGAAAAATTATCAATACGTGGTTTTATAATCCAAAGAGTTTCTTATTTAGTCATGTCTTTATATTAAAAAATGTTTTATTTATTTTATATTTTTTTCTTTAAATAAACAGTTCCAATGATATTGTTCGTTTTTCTTGTATTTACATAATATGTACATTAGATGCAAGTGATTTTAAGAAAAACATGAAAAACCGCTCCTAAGATCCTAAGATTTTTGAACAAAAATGCAAAAATTGTATAGACGTGTTTTTGCATCATTTTTATTCAAAAAAGCAAAAAAAAATCCTTTAAAATTAGGTAGTTTAGTAAATAATTGAAATAAAAAGATTTAAAAACATAGTTTTGCATCTTCCTCGTTTAAATACCAAGTTTTGCAAGTGAAAAGTGCAAATACCAAAAAATAGCAATTAATTAGGTGATTGTTATGTCGTCACGTAATGTGTATACTAGCAACGTGATTGGTCAACAGCAAATATCGAGTTTTGCATCTGCGTTAAGTTTTTAAATGTATTTTATTCTACAAATATTAACTTATGCATCTGGTTTACTTAGGTATGCTGTAGGCAATGCAGTACATAAAAAGGATAAAAAATATATTTTTAAAAAATTTGCAAAAACCGAGTTTTGCATCTAATGTATATTATACAATATATTAATAATTATTAGTTAAACATTTTTGACCACATTGTGCAGTGCAGTAATGTTCATAAATAAGATAAAATATATAATTTTTTAAAAATTTGAAAAAACCGGGTTTTGCATCTAATGTACTCATATATGAGTTCATTAGATGCACAACTCTGTATTTGCAGGATAACTGATTTTAAGAAAAACATACCGCTCATAAGATCATTTTTCAAAAAAAAAACATTTTATAGACGTGCTTTTGCATCATTTTTATTCAAAAAAGTAAAAAAAAATCCTATAAAATTAGGTAGTTTAGTAAATAATTGTAATCAAAATATTTAAAAACATAGTTTTGCATCTCTGGTCAACAGCAAATACCGAGTTTTGTATCCGACAGGAAGAAACAAATACCCAGTTTTGCATCTGCGTTAAGTTTTTAAATGTATTTTATTCTACAAATATTAACTTATGCATCTGGTTTACTTAGGTATGCTGTAGGCAGTGCAGTATATAAAAAGGATAAAAGATATATTTTTAAAAAATTTGCAAAAACCGAGTTTTGCATCTAATGTATATTATACAATATAATTATAATTATTAGTTAAACATTTTTGACCACATTGTTTTTTCCTAAAAAATATATTTTTACTAATACCAACTTGTTTGTTGATCGGCGACCGTTGAGCCGCTTATGGCAACCCTAACGTAGTTGTCTTATAAAAATTTATTTATTATTATTAGCATGCCAATTGTTGTAGTGGTTATTTAAGTTTCATTACAGATTCTTAAAAAAACGCGTAATAAAAAATGTCACTTTGCGCGCTTGAAAATAACTATATTAATATTATGTACCGTAAAAAATGTTGCAAAAGTCAAAATTATATATTCTTTTTTTACAATCCAATTAATATTTGTAACATAGATTATTTTATTAAAATAATCTTATTATAAAGAACAAAAATGAAATATTATTAACTAACATTAAGCGATTTTTCATAAATACAGCGTTGTTAAAATTAAGTCAATTACTAAATAATAATTAAAAGTTTTGTGCATACGGCCAACCATCTTCTAAATAAATCAACATTTATTTAATAAAAATATAAAAACTACTCTAAATTTATTAAGTTAAAAATCTAGGGATCGTACCTTTAACGCTGATTTAAGTACCACAACGTCGCATGCACTTTGAACCCATGGTTCGCCGTCCACTTGAACGGGAATGTCGGAATTTAGATGAATTTTTATGTGGCCGCCCTATTAAAACAAAACGAAAAATTATACAAAAAATTTCACTTTTTGTCGTGTTATTTACTTGTGCAATCCTCATGGCAGATCTTAATCCAGACTGGATTTGACCTAAATGCACCACACCGGTAACACCGACCACTTCCAACATACCGTCCCAATGATTGGGCTTTGAGAATTGATCATCTTTCTCAACGCCCCAAGGGTTCGCACCAGAACCCCAACTGAAATTAAAATAAAATAATTTAAGATAATAATAATAATAATAATTAAGAATAATTTATTATTTAAATATATAAATTTAAAACGGCTGAAGGACTACGGTCAATAGCCTTTGAACTTGGTTTTAGTTCAATAAAGCATTATTATTATTATTAAATTTAAAAGAATATGATATGTATTCATATTATAGAAAACTAGTTTGATAATTAATTTTGGTTATAAAATCGAATCACTCAAATTGTGCTATTAATTGCGGAGTGTATTTAATTTGTAAGTTGTAATTTACTTTTTAGTAATTCTTCATAAAATTAGAGTGCTCACTATGTAAGGCAAAATGCCTTTTTGTTTCTATTTTGGGCATTTGTTTGGGACCTTAAAATTAATCCTAAAAAGTAAATTATTTTTAATTAGGACCTTCTTTCTTTCTCTTATTTCGCTTAGAGGACCTATGAGGACCACAAATTACAAAACTAGTGAAAACCTAATGAAAAAAGTAATTGTGTTTTTGTTATATCTAAATATTCATTATAAATAATTATGGATAATATTAAGTTTGTAAAATAATTTCCTTTGTTTTCATAGGTTTTACTGTTTTACATTTATATATAACATATATGGTAATTTCAGACTTTTTAACAGTTTTTAGTAAAATAATTTGTCGCCATCATGTCGGCATAATTAAATAACTTCACAATTTACAGGTGGTAAATAGTTTTTCTATAAAGACAATAGATGGCTAAAGCCAACTTTTAAAAATTTTGGAATCAACGTATCGTGCTTTTGTTTGTATTTGTTTATATTTTTTGTTCAGCGTCGGCCTGCTTGTTTCTGGTAAGTTTATAGAGATTTAATTAAATAACAAGTATTTCATTTACAAAAACTATTATTATTGCCCACAAGTTATTTTAGTAATCCTACGAAATGCCCAAAGCCAGGGATTAAGGTTTCAGGGTGGTTGCAGGAGCTGGGCAAAAATAAAATATTGGCTGGAATTTCAGTGCGATGACACCCAAATATTTTGCAAAAGCTGTGCCAAGGTTTTAACATACCAACACAGTAAAAAAAGTTTATTCTAAGAGGTCCACTTTTTTGTTGTTATAGTATGCTATACTAAAATATTTTGCATTTCCAAGTTGTTAAATTGCTTTTTTAATATACAATTCAACTAAATATATAATTAAATTTTTAAATTTACAAAATACTTTGATAAAAAGATAAATTATCAATTTAAAATGTATGTAATATAATATATTTGTTAATTGAATTTGTTGATTTAACCACTTAATTTTGCCAATTTTACCAAAAAGTTTATATAATATTAACAAATATAATAGCAACCTGTACTATGGTACATATAGTATACACAATAAAAAAAAATTAGGTTTTCAATAATATTAAATGAATTTACTTATGTTTTATAGGTTTTTCTTTTCTTTATTCATACGGGCCATTGTTTGCTAGAGTTTGCGTTAATATTTTTATTATGTATTTTTTGGTTTTGTTTTTATTGATAGTACCTGAATAAATGTTATGTTCAATCGTGTTGTTTTTACTTAATATCGCTTATTTAAGGCGGTTGAGGCCTATTTTGGGCACTTTCGGCCTAAAATGTAGGTTTTTATTGCCTATTTATGTGTCCTAAATAAAAAATCCGTATTTGTTAATTATCAAACTAGTAATATTAATATTTTTCGTAACTTTGACTTTCACCTGATAAAATTTAATGCAAGATAATTAAGAAAGTTTTTTTATACCGTTTAGTGCACAACAAGAAATAAAATCTTTTTTATACGGAGGAAACTGATTTTTTTAAATTTAGTAGTTATTGCTATACATTTAGAGAAAGTTATTTAAGACTCGGGCACTGATAATTTTTTTTTGGAAAACCAGAAGTATTGCCTGCATATTGGTAGGTAGCGCCATCCATGGTAACAGCCATTATAGTTTTGCTGCCTTTGTTGCAAAAATGGTGAATGCGCCGGGATGAATTGATTAATATAGAAATTATTAATAACTTGACTACAGCGTCACCTAATGGAAGTATATTAAATAGATATAAAAAACGCTAATTAAAATTTCGGTATAGCATCTGAAATAATTATAATTAATATCATTTAAATATAATATAATATAATAATATTAACTAAATGAATTAGTCAAAAATAACTAATTATAAGTCATATTTGACTAATTGTCATAGCGAAAAAGCAGTCACTAATAATTAGTCAAATTCTACTGAATGAAATAGTCAAATTAGTAGATTTAAATTTCAAAAAAGTTTGGACTCAGCCGGGGATTGAACTCAGGTATGTCACTTGTCAAGCTTGTGGTATAATAATAATGTGACACTTTATACTTTCACCCATAAAATAACAAGTGGTAAGCCTGTTTAAGGTAAGGGTTTTACACAATAAATTATTACTATATGTTTTCATCCAAAATTGTACAGGATCAACTTTGAAAGCCAACTTGGTCGCATTCGCCGATTTATGACGTTTTAAAAGGTTTTCTATACAAATTTTTATTGACATTTTATTTGAGTTAAATATCTTATTTATTATACTATGTTTGTATATTAACGTATTTTAATATATCTGAACAAACACTTTATAATAATGAAAAAACGCAGTGTCAGTGTCGCACCCGTTACAATGAAAATACCCTATAATAAACTACCTAAAGAAAGAACCGAATTAATTTTTATTTACGGATGCGCACGCGTTTTTAATGAGAGGCATCCAGGCAAAAATGTAGGCCATCAATAGGTCAGTAACCTGGTCAAAAAATTTAGAAAAACTGGTTCATTGTGCAACAGAAAATACAATATTAAGTGTACTGTATGAATCTGCACAAATTGAAGTTCTCGGTCATTTTGCTATGGGACCCAAATCTATTCCAAAAGTAGCTGCTTTAACAAATATTTCTGTTGGTTCCGTTCATAAGGTGCTAAATATAAATAGGTGTTTCCCTTATAAACTTCAAATGTTCTAGCAACTCTGCGAAGATGGATACGACGGAAGAATCCAGTTTTGTGAGGAAATGACGCAAAAATTGCGGTTGCTCCCAATTTATTAAAAAATATTTGTTTTAGCGTTGAATGTACTTTTTTCTAAATGTATTTGTAAATAAACACAATTATTGGTACTGGGATAATGAAAATCCACATTTTTTCAAAAGGATCATACGGAGTATCCTCAAAAAATCAATGTATGGGCTGGTATTCTTGGAGCTCCTCCTCACTATGCTTTACCAGTCAGAGAATGGTTGAAGCAAAGGTTTCTCGAGAAATAAATTGGTAGAAGAGGTGCTTAAGAATGTCCAGCAAGATCTCCAGATTTGATTTTTTTCTTTAGGGTCATTTAAAAACACAAGTCTACAAAACACTACCTGAGAACATTCAAGAACTTAATCAAAGAATAATTCAAGAATTTAGGCAGATAACTCCTAAAACGTATAAAAAATTTCTACAAGAGTTTGAGAACAGATTGTATTATTGTTTAGCAAATCACACCTTTTTTGGCTCTAACTTGCAAATCCGTGATCGTTTTTTTTTTTTTTAATTTCAATGGATCAGAAATAGAATGTAATTTAAAATGATGTGTGGCAAGATATAGGGTGCCATTAAAAATTAGCTGGAGGTGAGAGGGTGCAACATAAAATTTGTTTAATACTGGATTTGTACTTCCACTTCGATATCTAAATCGACATGTTTTTGCTTAAGATCATATTTACTATAATTCAAAAGTTATTAAGGGTGGCTAGTGTTTAATTGAAAGCCCTGCTTATAAACATATATCATATATGCCACTCCAGCAATTCTCTAAAACGCAAATAAGGTTCCTCCACTTTAGTAATGCAGTCATTTCATTTAGTCAGTCAGGACTTTTTTGATTTTTTTTAGAAAAAGCGACAAAAATCCTTTTGACCTTTGAACCTTTATCATAGCTAAGTACTAATTCCACTCGAACAAAGCCGCGGGTCAAAGCTAGTGAAAAATAAAAAATACAGTAATAAGGTAAGACTGCTGAAAAGTATTTATTTATCGAAACGATTTTCTTTTTGTCAAAAAATCCAAATGGTACCTATTTCATATTTCGACATTCTCTAATTATAATTACATTTGGCCTCACCTTAAGATATTTAGAATAATGATGCCTTCGACTTGAGGTAGTTCGACGAGTTTCCCATCGACTTCCAGCCTGACTTCCTTGTGCAAATCCTTGCACATCTTTGGCCCGACCATCTTCCTAAGGCCCATCTTCACGTAGACGCTCTTGTTGTGCAGCCGGCTGATGAACTTGCCGGGGTTTTCTTCGCGAGCGTTGTGAAAATCGAGGCACAGGTCCGCATCGATGCCGATGCCGAAGTAGTTGTTCATCACGAATATTTGCGAATTGTCCTCGCTCGTCGAACCTGCTACAACTGTAGTAAGTGTTCAAGTTAAGAGAAAAAGCCGCATGTTAAATCTCGTTTTACAGCCATTAAGAATTATTTTGGAGCATTCGTATACTGTTCAGCTTAGATAATTGTACCGTAACAAAGAAATAATGTAAAAAGTCTAGCTTTAAAAGGATTTTTTTTAAATTTATACCTACGTAAATAAAAAATGTTTAAAATAGCAAATGTGTTGCAGCATAACTGTGAAATGATAACTAACAATTAGTTATAAATTATGATAATTACATAATTACAATTTTACGAACCTGAGTTATCCAGTTTTATGTAATCTACTTGAAATATTCTAATTAATAATACAACTAGACAACTCTAGCTTCCTTCATTGCGACGTATGTCTATTAAATAATGTTTTTTTAAGTTACCTAGTTGTCATATTAGGCTGGTGATATAATCTTAGTTTGTTAAATTTGTAGTAGCAAGAATATGACTTTTCTCAATGTGAATGTTCTAAAGTTATCATCAAATTTGTGGTTTTCTAATATTAGATGTAAAATTCCCATAAATATATATCAGTTGTACTTATCTAGGTACCAATATGAGACATATACCTAATTTCTTTAATAAAATCAATACTATTGATTCAATAGTAATGTAGCATTTAAAACTAACAACAACCGCAGTTTATCAAAAACAACAAAGATAAAACTTCAAAATTATGCGTGACGGTAAAAACGCTGCGATATGATATTCATTTTATGATTCATGGGAATACACGCACATGATTGGTATATGAGGGCATGAAATGATTGACTTCAACTATATGGTTAATTTGTGAAAAGACTGGATTTTAAAGACTAAATTTGTAGACTACATTGGTATATAAATTTACATAATTTTATTTGGAATTCCAAATTGGAATTGATCTTAACGTTTATAAATTAATTTATACTTAATTTATTAATGAATTTGTAAAAAAATACCTAATTAAAATAAGATATCTTTCAATAAATGTAGACAATTGTAACAAAAATCTAAAATAAATGACTTAAAGAAAAAGATCTTTTGGATAAAATATCGCAAGGTGGGTTTTGAACTTGCCTTGTCTTAATTTGATTGTTTTTCTTACAACGTTTTGATAAAGTTATAAAGTTATAAAGTTATAAAGTGCTCTTTTAGTTCCACCCTTACATCCAAACTAAGATGTCCCATAAGCCAACTGAATGGCTTGTGCGGGTTAGGGGTAGGAACGGACCGACGGCTTAAAGTCCCCTCCGAAGGACTATACACAATGGACAAACACAAATAAACAACCATACCCAAGTGGGATTCGAACCCACGACCTCTCGGCTCGTACCCAGGAGCTCTGACCACTACACCACCGAGGCCGGTGGTAATTATCTATAATGGTCTTCAGATAATAACTGAAGACAATTAAAGACTAATCGAAACGTAAGAAAAACAATCAAATTAAGGCAATGCAAGTCCAAAATTCACCTGATAATCATGTCCAGAAAAATTTCTTCAACAATAACATATGCTGGCTAAATGAACCTCAATTGATGACGCAAATAATGCATATATGCGTGCATACGTGCGGATTACAATCACGTTGTGACTGCAATATGCGTCAATTATGAACCTCATAATGTTACCTGGGTAGATACAGTTTCTAGATACATTTTATCTATCTTTATGTGTAACTAGTTTTTTATCCCAATCTAGTAACTATAACTGTACCTACAGTCTTCACATAGCAGACGGACCAAAATTATTAAAATCAAGCACTTAGCACGTGATATTCTAAAACTCAAGCGATAACATTGAACAGGGCCGTATTAAAAGCTATTGTTTTTACGATTTAAATGAATGAATTAGAACCAAATTTGTTTTTTTTAATTAAATAATAATTAATACCTATAAATAAATTTTAAATATATGAATAAATTTTACCATTATTTTAATAAATAACCTAACTTGGAGTACTTAAAGTGATTTCATCATCATTCCCAATATTGATGATAAATTGTTCAACTTGCATCTCCACAATGTTGGCAAACTCCAAAATTTTTGGCTCAACTTTATCCTTTACATGTTGAACACATTTTTGCAATTTATCCGCTGTAATCCTTTGAATTGCTTCATTAAGGAGTTTCTTATAAGATCAACGAATTAAAAAGAAGTATTATGCTGTTATAAAGATTTTAGCTTTGGTCAATATTAATTCAATGGAATTAAGCTCACAATTTTGTTTTGACTTTTGGCCATTTCGTCAATTATGTACTATGCTCCCACCACGTGACCACGTACGGAACGCAATGTTTTGAAAATTTGGCATTTAAGGCTTTTCAGGTTATGTATCTGTCAAAGTCAATGCAAGAAATAATATTTATAGTGTTACCGCCTATGTTTAAGCGTTAATAGTTAATAAATCTTAAAGTATCACAATAACAATGGTTGGTTTTATTCTTAAACCATCCATTGTTAATGTAATGTTATAAAGATTTATACATTTTTAACGCCTAAACAATATTATTTCTTTCGTTGACTATACTTTGACAGATACATAACCTGAAAAGCCTTAAATGCCAAATTTTTAAAAGACTGCGTTCCGTACGTGGTCACATGGTGGGACTTTGATGTGTGGAGCATAGTACTTTAGTTATTTGCTCTTTTTACAATTACCAAAAGTTAAACTTTAAGCATAGATCCAAATTCAATATTCTTAGACATGTAGAAGATATTCATTCTTAGACAAAAAGTAGATATTCAAAACTGGCTGCTGCAGTTTTGAATATCTATTTTTTTTGGAAATTCTTACTTTTTCAGTTTTTCAAGTGATAAGGTGTGTTATTAAGGAAGATTACTGCATTCTCCTGTAAACAGGGTAAAATATCAGAAAACCACTGTTTAAATAATTCCCCGTTTATTTCTTCGTGGTAATTCCCTGCCTTCTTGACGATTGTAAAACAAGAAAAGTCCAAATACCATAACTCGAAATGACTAAGAGGCAAAAAAAATTGTACTTCATTTGCCACTATATGGGCTGGAGCTAAAAACTTTATATTTCAGCGTAATACAACTTTTAAATTTGTTGGTATTAAAGAACTTTTTAATGAGGTAATTCAAAGAATAATAGCTGATAACTGGGAAAAGTGCGTTTAACATGTAAAGGACAAAGTTAAGCCAAAATAATACTGCGGATGATGATGAATATATTGAAAGCTCATCAAGTTAATGATTTTAACTAAAGATTCAATTTTTAATTTTTTTAAAAATTTTAATAATTATAGTTTACGCTTCATTAATTATAGTATAATAATACGCTGAATATTTTAGTATTTAATTCTTATAAGAATTTTTTTATAATGAACCATTTTGTCAAATAAATATCGTTTTGATATCTTTAACTTTATAAACGGCCTTGTTCAATGTTTTCGTTTTTGAATATTACGTGCATATTGCGTGTCTTTATTAATTAAACATAGGAAATTGAATGCTCTACAAAAAGGTATCCTATGTTTTTTTCGTAAACCTAACCATTTAAAAACGTCAAAACTTAAAAAGTTTTGAAAAAAAGAGAATTGTTGGGATTTTCAAATTGGAAGCACATATTTTTTTGGAAATTAACCGATCTGCAAATTTTAGTTTTTTTGATAAAAGTAAATAAGGGTTTGTGCAAATAGACACTTAAAAATTAAGTGCTACTTTTATTGAGTTTAGTTCCCTTTGGGATATCCTATGGTAAAATATTTTGAGATTTTTGTTATTTTGATATAAATGCTTAACGTAATATGTGGGACAAAGCTGTCCCTATGTGTCCAAAAAAGCTTGACTTTGTACAACATTTCTCTGTTATTTTATTATAAAAAACTGGACCCAAAAAAGGACGACATCGATAACCACTAAATACTGAAAAAAGATTTATAGCATGTGTTTCTACATTGTAATAAATGAATGATTTGTGTTGTATGAAGTAGAATCAAGAAAGAAAACACTGAATAAATATAAATCAGCTTAGATTTTAGTAAATAAAAAACTTCAATAAAACTCCTTTAGGAATAAAGCTGTTAGTTTTTTGTGTTAAAATTTAAACTGATAAATTGGGTATACATGTAAGTGACAAATGACAAAAACTCACATGCGTATAATTATAATACTTCGTTGTTGTTGTATATTGTATAATTCTTATGAGCTTTAAAACAGATTTTAAGGTCAATGTCGATCCTGAATTTTACAATATTTTCCTTAATGCATAAAAATCGCAAACAAGATTCAATGTTGTTTTGCCGTAAATAATCTATATTACATAATTAGAAGCCATGCAAACTATGAAAGTGTTCTATGCTACACTAACAATAAGATTTTTTTAAGTGGTGCTTTTAGTTTAATAAAGTTTAAATTACTTACGTTATAATGCATATTTGGAAGAGACAATTATAAAAATAGGTAATGTTTGAGTTATAAAAGCAAGCTAAAGCTATTATTTAAAATTTAAATTTTAAATATAAAAATAAAAAACAAACTGTAAAATATATTAAGTTTTTAAATAATTAAAACTGAAACAGAAAGATAATCTAGTTCTGCCACATTTCATTACATACATAATGTTTTCAAAATATATTTTGTTTGAATAATTTTATTTCAATTATTTATAAACCTGTCTATACACTGTTTAAAATATCTGTGGTGTAAAATGTAATCTTAAAATGGTTTCTAAATCCAACACCAAGTGGTGAAAATATAAACACCATGAATTATGGTTGATAATGTTATATACAGCAAACACCAAAACGGTGTTTATCTAAAAATATTTGAGAAGTTCACCTACACAGAAAAAAAGGAATAGTTAATTAACCTATATTAATTTAGTTGACTCATAAGTATTTAGTTAAATCAACTGTGGGAAGGTTAATATAAACAAAGATTAGTTTGACGGTAAGAAACCGGATAGTTATTTTTTTTTTTAATTGGTTAAATTAACCCAGAAAACTTTAGTGAAACCAACCCGCTGTATGGTTCAGTTTACTAAATATGTTGTTTGTAAAATAAGAGTTACTTCAACCTAAAGCACTCTGTTAAAACGATTAAAACAATTTGCCGTGCATTCTTGGTTGCATAGTATGTATTCTTGGTTACATAGTATGTATTCTTGGTTACATAGTATGTACCTATCGCGGCAAAGGGGGTGTGGATCACGTGATGTTCTTAAATTTCGCCTCTGTTGACTTACATAAAGAGTATATAAGCTCAGGTAGTCATTTGCTTTAGTGTGACCCTACAAGTTTTTCGATACTATAAAAATACCTTAAATAGGTGGAAACAGCTGTCAATACTTGAAGTATTTTAAGTTGGTGGAACGCACTAAAAACATTATCTCTAGCGAGTTGAAGGTTTAATTTTCTGGAATAATATCACTGTTGATATACTAGTAATGCGTCAAGGAACTTCCTGTTTCATTTTTTTCCCTTTTTTCTGTGTAGTATGATTTAATTTGACCAAAAACACATAATATTTTAACACTGAAAAGAAGTTTAATTTACACCAGGTAAAATTTATTTTAATTCTATGTGAAAGTTTAAATTTACACTATTTTAGTATTTGAATTTACACTGGACCAACGAAGCATATTTAACAACATTTTGGTTTGTATGGTCATGAAATTTTGAACAGTGTAATAAAACTGGATTAACCATTTCGAGAAGTTAGTTGGACATTTAAAAAATCTCTAAACAGGAAAACACAAATAAAATATACATTGTGTAACACTCTGTGAATCAGATAACATTATGTAATGAAATATTTTAAAAGATCAATATAAAGCTATTTTACATTTTGGATTTTAAGCTCAAGCCATAAATATAGCAAAGAGGCTTAAGCATTACGGTGATAATACATAAGTATGGTGTAATAATGAAGTAATAATGTCTTCCAAATACAATTTTATAAGGTTAATTTTTTTATATTAGTTTAAATTTAATTCAAAAGATCCATGCTTTAGAAATAATATCATTAAATAATGTCTACTTCTAAAATAATGCCAATAGCAACAAAGCGATAAAACATTATAATCATCATCATAATCATGATTGCTTAGTCAGTTAGTTTTTAATTACAGCAAAACAACATCTAGATACACATATTGATTGACCTGCTTTTCTAATTTGCTCATTGGTCACTTTCATTTTGGACAGTTTTTGCCTCTTCTTACCGGTGGAGTTGACCTGCTTGACGCTATCGTCCGCTTTGTCCTCCGGATGGAACACCACCGTCCACCGGTCCAGACGGATCTCTTCGGCATCGATCACGTCCCGGAGGAGGTTCAGCGGATCCTCGCCTCCGGTATATCCGGGACCCCACCGCAATACGCGGGCCAAATCGTTACCTGGTTTAAAGGAAGGTTAGGAAGATGACAAAGTTGACAATAAAAAAGTGCCAAGTAACATGTTTACCAAAAATTAGAGTCGAATTTTACCTTCTTTTTTTTTTGCTATAACAGAACGCATTTGGTCTCATTAATTTGCATTTCTTATTAAAAAATTTGGTCAAATCAATGATAGCATTACTTTCTCTTGAGGTGATAAAAATTGTCAAAAAAGTTCATTTAAAAAATGAGTTGGGAAACTGCAATTATAATTATAGCCTAAATTAACATTTTAAATAGTTGACGTTCTTAGGATTGTCTTAAAATTAAATAACGATTTAAGTTAGATATAACTGCCTTATGGCCACTTGCACCGTAATTACTTATTGTGTGGTTTTATTTTTAACACAGGTTTATTTTTCATAACTGGCTTGCACCGTAAATTAATCCTTGTGTAAATACCTCTTAACTACTGTAAAAATAAACCCCCAATTTCGGTGGTTTAAATTACTTTAATCCACCGTTAACGATTTATAACCTCAAAAGTCAAGTCAATATAATAGAAAGAGTATTTGGAATTTGGAAAAGAAGGTTTCCAGTGTTGGCATATGGCTTAAGATTAAAACTAGATACAGTTTTGTCCATTATTCCAGCTGCAGCTGAACTACATAATATTGCTAGAGACATGAATAAACCAGAGCCGCCATTGCCTAATGATAATACCAGGAACTGAATCCACAAGATCGCATTATGTTTCAAAATCAATTAATACAAGATTATTTTGCGAATTTATAAAATTTAATGTGAATAATATTTTTGATGTTTTATTTAATTTATACTTATTTAAAATTAAAATAAAATAGTCACTTCTTGTTTATTATTATAAATTATAATACATATATGTTTCTTTTTCTTCTAAAATTTTTAAATCCGAAAGAGTTATAATAATATTTTTGATGTTTTATTTAATTTATACTTATTTAAAATTAAAATAAAATAGTCACTTCTTGTTTATTATTATAATACATATATTTTTCTTCCAAAATTTTTTCATCCTTCTTATTGTTAATTTCCTGCTCTAATTGTTTTAGCCCTATCTGCCGCTTTGGTTTCAATGGTACCCTTGTATCCACAGGATTAATTAAATGATTTTTTTCATTTTCTCTAAAAATTTGAGGAGCGCCCCCTTTTTTTCAGGTTCTGTATCCATATTATTCTCTCTTACCATCAACTGAATCAGTCGTACCTACATGAAATAGAATCGAACCACAGATTATAAAGAATCGAACGTCAAAAAATATTTGCGTCACAAATAAGTGTGAAGTTAGTTATTAGTACCAATCCTTTCAATTTTTTAGTAAAATTCCCTAGATCTATAGTTAAATTTTAAACCATAGTAAAAAAATCAAGGTGCAAGATTTTGGACACTAATCTCCTGTTACCTTTACCCGGTGCAAGTGGCCATTAAGAATGCTAATTTAAGCTAGATGTAATTGTTTTAATGCCAACTTGAAATATTCCATTTAAAGGTGACAGTATTAAGACAGTTAACTATAAGATGTAGCCTATATTAGAATCCAGCCTAAGGTAATATTATTGAAGATGCGACGAAAGTTTAATTTTGGATCAGTTTTTCGAGTATTTGACTTTCTTTCTCACTAATAACCCTCCAACTATTGGTCTACAACCCAGGTAGCACACTGACGTTTGCTACCTGGGAAGAATTTTTATATTATAAATCTTAGAAATTAATTTTTGTAAAAACTATATTGAAGTTCTGTCAACCCAACCCAACCCAACCCGGCACCGCCCACAGCCATAAACAAATCTAAAAACATTAAGGGGGCAACCGGTACCGGCAGCCATTATTTTATGTATAATATTTTTAGACAAAACGAACGATTTTGACATTTTTTTAAATCTTGGAGAAAATAAAACATTTAAGATGTTTTCAAATAGCAACTTAACTTAAAAAAAACATTGTTCTTGTTTAGATGAAAAATACATGTACTGTTTTTATTAATTTTACTGTAGCACTTGGGTCGACATAATTGAAATCACACGATCAATTTCCCGAAGAAATTTTGTTCTAAAATGTTTGGTACTTATACCACTAATAATATATAAAATTTAAAATAAATTTAATTCGTAAAATACTTTTAAACCATTTTTAAAACATTTTTTTGTCGTGGGGATTGTTTTACCTGTTCCTAGAGGTACAATAGCACAAGCAGGCGACGAACACTGAGAGTCCTGACCGACATTGTCTAGACATTGAAGCACCCAACCGATCGTACCGTCCCCGCCACAAACGAGTATTTTATAGTTCTGAATGTTTCTAAACACATATAGACCTGGCAACGGTCCACCATTGTCCAAGTCAAACACTTGATAGGGATTCAACAACTTTCTAAAGCTCGATATCAGCTCCAATCCCTGGCAACCGCCCGATTTTACATTTACAAAAACTAACAGTGGTTGCACTCCCTGAGGTATCATCGAAGGTTCTATATTTGGCAAAAGCATCACTAAAAATAACAAAGGAATATAATTTAAAATGTATCCAAACATACAGGGTTAATCCGTTGAGTAAAGAGATCTTCAATCAACGGTGAAAACCTATTTTGTTTATTAAAATATCTATTGTTCGGCATTATATAATTATTGTTTGTCATTATAACAAATTTAAAGATTTGCATATGTTAACATTTTGCAAATCCTTATATTTGGGCGAATCTTACGAAATGTCCCCCGATGGTATTACCCCGTGATATTTAATAAAACTAAATTAGTTTGACCTACACTTTTATTGTGTTTTGATCTTTCATAATTACAATTAAGTAGATATTACAGCTAGCTCAGGTTCCAGATTTTTAACCGCAATTAATAACTTTTTAAAAAGTTTTAAAAGTCTAAAACCTATCCTCCGTGACTGTTACTCTTTCAATATGTTTTCAAATATCTGAGGTAGTAAAAGCATACTAAAAATATCAGTTCACTAAGTAAATTAAACACTTCCAAAGCAATCGAATCAAATATAAAATATTATAATAAATTAAAAGAAATACTTTTTATAACCATTTATGTGGGTGTTACAAAAATTGATTCTATCCTCCGTGAATCTATTTTTGCTTTAATTTTTATGCAACGGATGGCGCTTTAATCATTTTAAATAAGAAAAAACCTCTGTTTACGACATTACAGATGCATGTGATTCCTGAAGGTCAGTTAGAATTTATATGCAGGTGAGAGTGTTGCTGATTTATAATTCAAAAGTTTAAGTTCATTAATTTGCTACCTATCCACCGTGAAGTGTAATATCTCAGTGAGTAGATTTTTTTTATAAATATTTTATGTATGTACAATTGTATTTTTAAAAAATATTAAGGTGTTAAAAGATACAATAACTTATTAATTTGCTACCTATCCACCGTGAAGTGTAATATCTTAGTGAGTAGATTTTTTTTATAAATATTTTATGTATGTACAGTTGTATTTTTAAAAAATATTAAGGTGTCAAAAGATACAATAACTTATTTCAAATATATATATATATATTTTTGTATGTTAAAAAAAAACATACAAAATCCTAACCTCCGTGAAGTTCTAATATTCAAAATGTATGATTTCTTAAAATTCTTGCGTAAGTGCAGAACCACTTATGTTATGTTATTACTAGACCTGGCTTCCCAAAAACCCCATTCTAGACTAACAGTGAAACAACCAAAAATAAAATATAATCATTTTCACTTGGGGGACATCTCAATATATTTACCCATTTATAAACATGTGTTTTACTCTGTATATTCCGAAATGCATTTGCATCCTACCCAGGTAGCCCAAGCTTCTAATATTCTTTTTAATTTATAAAGACACATTTTTTTCTTCAATGGCTATACGTACCAAGTAAAGGTTGTTTGTCTTCATATTTAGATTCACGCAAAGTGTATAGAGCTCTGACAGCCTTATCCGAATCTTCGTACGTTATGACCATTGATCCATATTCGTAGTAAATCGGACCAATTTTGGAAAACTTGTTTTCTGCAACACCAACATTAACATTATTACGTGGATAAATTTAGAAATGTTTGTTTAAATACTTAATATTTGTGCTAATTAGCAATAATAAGCAATAATGCTTAGTCAAGTGCACATACAATGTAATACCCTTGCTAATTATTATTATTTAGGGGAATTAGTTCAACTACTTTGAAATATTTTAAATTTAACTATTTAATGAAATATGTAGGTATTTCGTGGAATAAAGGTACTTACACTTCAATAATTTTCATTACTTTATTCTTGGAATTTGAAAATATAATAAATTGTGACATAAATGTGTTAAATATTTATAGGATTGTTACCTTTTCCTAGAAATTCGGTCAGAATGTTTTCATAGTTTCTTTCCGATAGATTTGGTGGCAAGTTTCCCACAAACAAAGCTAAATTTGGCCCGTGAGGATCCTGCTTCAGCTGTAGATAGAAACGCATCAGCTCCATTTGTCTGATACTGTCTTTACCCAGTTGCTTCATGATCTCCCATGGCCTTTCGTCCCATGAAAGTACTCTTTCAGTAACTGTAAAAATAAAATTGTTTTCATTAGAAGGGGAGCTTGTTGGACCATAACCTGAATTTGCGCATTCGTAAAATCAACCCTTTTGCTATCTTGGACGTTATTTAATTTTTTCATTAAAACTTGGAATTGCGTTAACTTTATAATTAATTAAAAAACTTATCTACCCAAGAACAATTATTATTTTATAGGAATTTTTAGAATCATCAACGTTCACAAATTAAGTTTATTGTTTTTATTAAATTAAAAAAAAATCTAAAGACTAATACCACTTTTGTTATCCACCCATTTATTTTTTTCGCCCAACAGGACTCCAGATATAATATGATATTTGATTTAATATTATCAAATCCTTTTTTTGGGAATTTGCTTGTTGAGCTTTTGCAAAAACAATATATTTATCATACAGCTTGTTACAAATTGTTTATTGGCAACAAATCAAGGACTCGTGTTGTTTTTTTTAAATTCTCGTAATTCGGTCCAAATAGCTTTTAAAAAGTTTTTTATCAATGATGGTCTTTAATAAAAAAAGTAAAACCAGACGATACAAAATTTGCAAAGGTAATTTTAACGCCATTTTATTTTTGACGTACAATCCAAGATCCAAATTCATGATAACGGTCTCCAACCAATCTTCTTTTGAATGAATTAATTTTTTGTGACAAACTTAATATTTATTATGTTTGTGAGTATATAGCAAATTTACCTCCTCGATCCAGCAGAACTTCACTACACCGATAGTCCTCGCTGTTGTAACCTTCCAAGTCGAATCTTTTAAGCGCTTCACGAATGAGATCGCTGACTTTGGTATCCGAATCGACAGGCACCGTGCAAAAAGCCTGAGAGACCTGTAATTTTCCTGGGTACACCCTCACTTCGCCTTTGTCATTGTCACGGTCTCTGCAAAAAAAAATTATATAGTGATCTCTCCTTTAATAAAAGAGAAAAGGTCCAAAACGTTTGGTCCATAAGTTCGCGGTATAAAGGTACATCCAGAGGCATGATATTAATTCTCTTAACAGTAATAAAACCTCTGACCAAGTCAACTTTAACACCAATCGTCTTCTGTTAAATTTTAGTGGTTATTTTTATGTTTTCCATTTTAAAAAATTAACGTGAGAGTAATGATTCAAAATTGAGCAAATTTTTTATGAAAAGTGTGCATCAGAACAAATATTTGACCATTGGGGGCGTGTGAAACTACGATTTATTAAGAAAAACTTGCGAATTGGACTCATTGGTCATCATGATGACTTTACGAAAAATAGTAGGCATTTTTTTAACCTGGAACTGATATTCTTAACCATTTCTTATTGTGAAGTTTTTGCATTTAACATGCATATTTTAAATAAAAATCATAGCGTAGCTATTACAAGAAATTGCAAATGTATTGGTCATTTTACAAATTTAAAATTATGTCATTTATAAATATAAACAACTCTTCTTCTAAGTTTACGACTAAATTTTCATACTTGAACCTGAGGTACACAGCCGGTCGTTTGCCTTCTTTTCTGTGAAGATTTAGAATTGGTGTGGGATCCTGCAAAACCGTTTCGTCGGGCGCGTAAAGATCGGTTAGATGAAACGAACTGGCATCCTTGGTTATGTGGAAAGACCTTAATGCCTGAGTTAAAACAGTTTTTAATGTAGCTTGTCTGGGAACTACGATAGTCCTAAATATCTTTCTTCGCACCGAGTTGTTGCCGTCATACACTTTTACAACCTCTGAAATTAATATAATAAAAGTATGAGAGAAAATAATACAAGACATGGTATGCGATCAATGCGTGTTTTGAGTAATACGATACCGACACGGAAAAATTGCAATTGGTTTTAATCTAACATTTAGACGACTAGAGACTTGAAACATTAAACATAGCTCATAACTCATAACTGGATGACAATACAATCTGGTATATTAATTAATTAATTATAATATTTTAATTGTACAAAATGGCCGCCGCTCCGAGATTGCGGATTACCTTTTTCCTTAAAACCATCTTATATGTGCACCTGATTTCGTAAGAAATAGTAACGTGCTTAATTTGTTATCTTGTTTTTATATTGTTGTTTACATATTTATAATTCGTAAAAAAAAATAATAAGGTAATAGGGCAAAAATAATGTATACATAAAAAATCACAAAAAGAGAAGTTAGATGAAGGCACAATCATTTATATTATCAATACTAAATAAAAAATGATTAGGATAGTACATTTTCTATGATATTTTTGTTGAGACGTATAAAGATTTTAAGTTTTTTTAGTTTGTAGCTCTTTTGGTAGAATATTATATATTTTTGTACCCTTAACCAAAATAAAATTTTCGAACAAGGTTGTTGGTATTGTTGGTATAATGGATTTATTTTATTGTCTAGTATTATAATTCTGTTAAGCTGACTTTCTTAATTCTGGGACACCTCATTCGTCATAGAGTAGTTCTTCTGTAGGGGTAGTACGCTTCTTAGAAAAAATTGTTTTTAATATCGATTTTTTTGTTAGAATTAGGTTATTTATGTGTCGTTTATATGTCCTCCCATATTATATTACCATAGGATATTTTAGATTCTGCCAATATTACCATAGGATATTTTAGATTCTGCCAATGAATAATATGCAATTCTTAAAGTTTTCAGGACAATTTTTTTTTTAATTTATTTGTGACACTCTCCGTGTGATCATGCCATTTGAGATTACTATTAATAATCAAGCCCAAATATTTTATTGACTCTGTTTTTTGGATTGTTCTGTGACAGGGGCAGTTTGTTTAAAATGAACATATGGAGTGAAATTTTAGAGTTTCAAAAGCTGGTTGGGTAGAGGTGCTATTTGTAAAAATCATTTTTATTGTTTAAGGATCAATAAAAAATTGATATAAAACTCGTCAAAGTACAAGTATTTAAATTTATTTAAAATCGATCCATTATAAAAATTAAAAATATTTTCTTGTTCTATTATTTTACAAAAACGTTAATTACTGCCAAACCGTAGCTACCAAGAATTAAAAATCAGACAATATGTGACCTGTCATTTGATTAAATGTTTTAGAGTCTCTAGGGGGCAGCTGCCCATACCCGCTCTTAGAATCGCCCATGCCTATGAAAAGTTTGATAGTTCACTAAATTCTTGAAGAATTTTTATTTGTACGCACCTTCGTCTCTATCCTCCTTATCCTTGTTCTGCTTGTCCTGCCTCTCTTTACCAGGTAAATGAGTTTGTGCATAGTCCTCAGAATCCCTAGACCGGCTGGCATCTCCGCTGCTGAATTCTTCAGAGGTACTCCGTGCTAAAAATGTACAAGAACTTAAACAACTCACAAAGGCAACTTGATTTTATTAGGTTTATGTTACGTAAATATCATCTTGCATCAAACGTTCGTTACTCGTTACTAGCTTTAAATCCGCTCCTGAAAGAAACCCATTATCCTGGCTGACGCAGACAGATCCGCTTCAACATAAATAAAAATAAAACCGCCGCTGTATCGAGTATCCAATCACGAAAAATAACAAATTAAATTGTAATTATCCGGAAGGACTTCCGGATATTAAATTTATAAAGTTTATTCTGTATCGAAATCATAATCGATCATGGCGACTAGTAATAATTATTATTAGTATGAAATTACTCTTCCTTTAAACGGTTTTCGTAAATAGGTAATTTGCAGCACTTAACCGGTTAAGAACCACTTAGTTTACTTAAACGAGTTTACTAAATATGGTTTGTAGTAAAACATTGTTAAATTTATTAAATGCACACATTGATAGGTAGGAATATTTTAATGCATGTATCTGATTTTTCATCAAAACGGATTTAAGGGGTTTTCATACTAGAGGATTCAAATGTAGTGCATTCGGTAACTTTTTTAAGGTCACAGTTAAACCCTGCAATTATTATCATCCGAAATAATAGTAATTAGAAGTAGGTACCTACTAATTAACAAATAATAATATTAAAAAATAAATATTAAATTATTTAACTTTTTTATCGTTGGAAAGAAACGTCAGCCAGAAGAACGTTCAAAATACAAAACATATTATTGATTGTTGATTATGGGGGTAACTGGAAAAATAATAATTAAAAAGCTTCAAACTGAAAACTTGGCAAACCAAAAAAATACCTCCAAAATAAGGGGAAACGGGGTGGGTTTTGCCCTGGCAAGAATTGGGCAACAAAATGGACAGACGCCTTCCCAAGTAACACAGATAGTTCCAGATCCTTTTGGTTTTAGACTCGCCACCAAAATACAGTTTCTGGGTACACCCTGTTACCTAATTTGTCACTTTATTAGGTAATGCCACTCCAAAGGATTTTTGGATAATCTCTTTTACCACTCTGCTACTAGTCATTTGGAGTTTAAACACCCAAAATTAAAGTAGCAAATGGGTTGTTACGTCTAGTAACTGGGACTAGGCATATCCTTTCATTGTTACCACTAAGTGGCGAAAACTAAATAGTGGCGATAAATACGAAACGGCTACCAGCTTGTGCTACTAAAATGGGTAAATTAAGTATTTGTTACTATATAGTTCCATGCTTAGTCACAGAATAGTCCCAGTAGTCTATATCGTGGGCCTTAAAGTTACGAGGCATTTGGGTAATATTGTTTGTCCTGAAATAGTAGCTGCGACTATGGTTTGTAACTATAAAGTTACGGGTACTATACTCTTTTGATATTTTGCTACTATAAAGTTGTAGAAACTGAAAAATGTGTCTATATAGTGGCAGATAATATATGTACCCAACCTGTCTGTTACATATTTTGGTACAACGGAATAAGGAAGATTTTATTATCTCGTTTATTCCAAGAGAAAAACCTAGAATCGGTATCCCCAATTTTTAATATTGATGGCTTGCCTCCATTTAATAGTTCTCTGTTACAATTTTAGCCGATACTAAAAATTCATGGATATCCTTGTGATCAACCCATGGTGGTGGCTATTTATTGCGGAGAGTCAAAACCTCCGTTACAAGAATTTTTGCATGAATTTGTAACGGAACTAAATGAGATTTTTGAAACAGGAATTCAAGTTAGTCAGATTAGGGTAAAAGTAAAAATTAGGTATTTTGTATGCGACACTCCAGCACGAAGCTTTATTAAAGGTAAATTCCTATCTCAAACTAATTTTAAGTTTTATAGTATATAGTATGCATGTGAGAGATATTCCGTTGGAAAAAATTTCAACAAAATTTAATTCTGAGAACATTATGATCTACACTGCATCCTAATTGCTTAATTTTATAATTCTAGCGATTATTGTAGGAACTGTAGGCTTTAATGCAAAGCATGGTTGTATAAAATGCACCGTAACTGGAGAATATGATAAAGATGGAAGGCATATGAGTTTCTCAAAAGTTGATTGCCCTTTAAGAACGGATGAAAGTTTTCGTAGGGCTCTAGAGCCTATCTAGCTAGATGAAGATCATCACAAAGAAGAATCTCCATTAATAAAACTGCCAATAGATATGGTTGAAGATATAATCATAGCAGATTCCTTACACCTATTTGCTACCTACCTTTTAGGTAGGTAGCACGAATCCAAAAACCAGAGCCAAAACGTGCAACAATCAAATTGTAGTCTTAACAAAATACATTTGACTTTTGAGCTCAACCTAGGTTAGAATTCCAGCATTACCTACAGTGGTAGACGGAACTTTATAGTAACATATGTAACTATATTGTCACAAAATGCCTGATCGTCCGACTTTTTGGGTGTTTAAAATAACTTTTTAGTTCCAGTAGTTACCATAGTGTAGAAATTTAAAAAATATTTAAAAATAAAAAAGTTCCGAAGTAGTAACTGGTACTACACAGTTACTTTTGGGTAGTGACAACTTAGTCACTGAAAGTAGCAGATCCTTTAAAGTAAAAAATGGGTAGTCCCTGCTACTTTATAGGGAAGGGCCTAACTTTATCGTAGCGAAGTGTAAGTCAGCCATATTTTTACGGTCAAGATTTTTTAATGGAATTTTGTTGTTAGTATATTTTCCATTTTTCTTCATTTTCCTAATGTTTATAATTCCTTAAGCATTTATTTTTTTAAACTAGAACTCCAATACACTTTTGTATATTATGAAATAATATTTTTTATATTTTTGACATTATTTTTTCTTCGTAAATATCTACTAAACTAAGTTAATTTGAGGGCGCGTTAAAATATTTCCATCTAAACCGGTTATATTTGTCAGTATAGTGAGTTGCGTTCTAATATTAACCCTGGAAGTACCCAAAATACGCGATTAAACATCATCATTTTTGTCATTAACACGCCATTATTAAGTTTAACATGGCCATGACTTCGCGACTGTCCTGTCATATTATTATTTCTTTGAAAACTTTTTTACAAAGTAGAGGTCTCTAGAGGAACGTTTAGTGGCAGTTACCAGGCGGCCACGTAGGGGTTACTAGGCCGATACGTAGCAGGATAGTGGTTGCTACTACCTTTTCACTTTATAGTAACGAAATATAGTGGCAACTTTAGTCCCTGGGACCACCCGTTATACTACCCAGTTACCCTAAATTCTTCCCCATTTTAGTAGAAGCTACGTGGCCGTTACGTAGCGGCAACGTAGCCGCCGATAGTGGCGGTCTATTTGATGGTCGCTTTTGTAGGCCCAGGAACGTACCAGCTACTTTGTGTGTTGCTTGGGTTATGACCCCGGTTAAAGCAGTCCTTCTTTCGGCACCGTTGACTGCAAAATCATTCCTTGTTATCTTAAAATAAAAATTAAAACCAAATTAAAGCGCTTAAAAATTAAACATCATGCGATGTAATGTCCCAACTGTAATAAAAAATGCCAAACAAAATAATACACAAACACATTTATCATAATAAGTCCACAGTAAAAAATAGACAATTCTTATTTTAATGTTATGAGTATGAGTATGAGTATAAGAACGTATGGCAGGCCCCATCGGCCACGCCTTAGACTGATCTTCCAGGGTTATTTTACCCCCTTTCGGTTCTATACGTATCCCGCCACTGCACAGCGTGTTCACCTGTGTTTGGTGGATCCGAATTTTCGAGGGTTAAGGCCATTCCCGGAATTTTTTCACCGGGCCGACCATACGCCCGATTTATGCTAGTGAAGTGTAGGAGTAGGAGGGGTAAAAGTTGGTTTTCGGGGGCCTTAAACTGACCCAAAACTAAGTACAATCCCCCTCAATCACCCTCAAACAGGGTATTAGTAATGACCCCATTCAGTTGGGGTTCATGAATGAGGATTGGGTTATTAGAACGTTGCTTGGACATCCTTGCTGGTCTTGTATTTCATCCGGGTCTCTGTCCGGGTCTGCCTGAGGTGTTGATTTTACTTTCCCCACATTCTTAGAATCTTTTTGAATATTCTTAAGTTTATTTGTTGTTAAAATTAATGTATACCATTTACCATTAACCTTTATTAAATCTTAGCAAACATTTTATTTGTACCAAACTTGTATTATATGTAATTAGTAATATACATAGGATAAAGCCGGCCCTGTGGTGTAGCGTATTAAAATTTGGAATACGGCCCTAATGGCAAGCGTGTAACGATGTTGTTTAAGTTTAATAGTTTGTTTAGGTTGGACCTATTACGTGCTCGTTTTGTTTATTAAGAGACTGTTTATTTTACTTTCGTTATCTTTTAAAAGCTTTCATTTTATGAGGCTGGCCTGTAAGTTTATGCTTATATTATATCATATATATAATACAATAATATAATATTGTGACGTTCTTACATGATTTGTTACACTCATACGCTGTTATCGATAATGATTAATTATTGCCAGGTTTTTGTTACAGATTTGCGTATTAGGTCATGCATTTTGATACTTATCAGGTTCAGCAGATGATGCTCCTTTCCACTCTTGGTTAGACTTGATTTTTCTTTAAATATGTGATTCCTTGACCTGTCCCTTAAGGGACAATTGTCACTTTATTACTTCCAAGTCCGCACGCACCTCACCCCTGTGTTCACCCGGTGAGAGTTGCCTTTTGAGGAATTATTTAATGTTTCTATTAAGCCTTTAAAGAACAGGTACCCTGATTTCACCTGTACAGGTATGTAGTAAACCAAACTAGTAGCAATGTTTCGCACCGCAGTTTACTCGACAACACTGTATCTTAATGTTATTATTATTAATTATTCGCATCAAATGTATGTCTTGTATAGAGAAAAGAGTGGTAGTTTTATTAATTTGGCATAATTTGAAGCTACAAAATATAAACTAAAGGGTATATATTTTATAGTATATATTAGGTAAGATAGACTTTTTGTAAAAATTAGATTAAATTGCCTTAAAAATATTCATCATTTTTTGAGATTCGTAAAAATTAAGTTAAGATACCAAATTTCATTTAAATTTTTGTTGTTTGGTTTTATTGACAATTATCAATTAAATCGGACGGCACAAATACACGATCAAATTGCGTTCAATTTTGTCGAATTTGTGGTGGGATTTAAATCAACTTTATTAAGTTCATCTTATTAAAAAAATTAAGTTAAATTTAAGTTAAGAGTAAAGGCTCTTTGTAGAATATTGCTTTTTATCTAAAAGTGGCATAACACATATATGTGCAATGTTTTAATTTACTGTTTTTATTTGTTACCAAGTGTCAGTTATCTAATAAAAAGAATGTAAGTTTAACCAGGGCCGGCAGAAAGTTTTTGCAGTTTGCGTTATGTCCCTAATTTTGGGGCCCTAGCTTAGGATATTCTACTTACCGTTAGAAATTCTAATCCTTAATATCTAAGAATTCTAGTTATGATCCTATTTTGTAACTAAATAGTTGGACGGGGCCACGAGCAGATTAAAGCAGTTTGCAAAAATATTGTTAATTTTTAAATCAATTTTACAGCAAATGTTCAAAATGTCCACATTTTCCTGAATACAAGCTTGCACGCGTATATGAAGCTTTTACTGACTGAAATATGTTTGGTTTATTTGACACAGCAACTATCCTGGCCAATAAATCCTCCCGGTCGGAAGGTTCAGTTTTATAAACATCAGACATTAGATGTCCCCAAAAATATAAATCTTAGGAATTAAGATCAGGGTACATGGGCGGCCAGGCAACAAGACCACTTCTGTCAATATAACGATGGCCGTACCTATTCATTATTTAAATAAGTAATAACATCCCGGTGAAAATGCGTCGTCTTGCATAAACCACATATATGAATATATTCAGGATAATTAGCAAGAAAAATTTTTCCAAATATCCTTCAAGATTGTTTTGCAAAAAATTCAAATAAAATTCTATCTGGAAGAATTAACGGTCTAACAATTAAATTTATAAAAATTCCTGCCCAAACAGCAAATAAATGTACACTTCCAGGTAACTGTGGATTTTGTACTGACCAAAAATTTTATAAAAAAAAGTTTATATGATTTAATACACCATTGCGGGATAAATTTGACTCATTAGTAAACAGGACAATTTTATGAAATCGCGATTTTCTTCCTTTTCTTGTCCTTCAATCAACCACTGGCAAAACGCTCTTGGATAATCTGCCGGTAGTAATGCTTGTACTCTTGTGTACATTCTTTCTTGATGCAGAGTTTTTCAGGAAGTACATGTTTCAAACAGACGACTAATTTGCCGAATATTTATTGCTGGGTCTTGGTTACCAAATGCAAAATGATTGGGCAGCCTTGCGGTCCCGGCCTCTACCCCTGTCCCAGTTGTTTGGCTTGAACCTATCAAATTCTCTTAGTTTAAGATGAACTTGAACAAAAACAATTTGCTTTTGAGAATATAATTTCCTATATCGCCTTGAAGAAGCTCTAACGTTTTGATTCATTTCACCATACAATAAGTGCATATAAGTGCACAGAAAACATCGTCGTAACTTAAGCACACCACTTGCTTGAAAATAAACTTCTTTATGACAGTTTTTGCCGCACTGTAAGTTGATCTGAAAAATTATTATCATGGACCATGATTCATGGTATCGTTTAGCCTGATAGATTCAGGTTAGAGACCTGGGATTAAACCTGCTTAACTAAGCGCTGTAATTGAAATAAAGATAATGACTTTTAGCGCTATATTTTATAGTTATAATATTTTATTTTATATTATACAACGCGACACTCATGTAGTTGAAGTTTTAGGCCATGTTTAGGTATATGTATTTGTAAGGACTGTCCTATTTATCTTTTATTGCATATTCCTTATTTTATTTGTGTTTTGTTTGGAGAGCGTTTGTACTTGAACATCTAAGCAAATAATCAAAAAACATTATCCGTACTTACACTGTTCAAAATTTCATGACCATTTTAACACCAAATTAACACCATATTTGGTCTATATCGATACAAACCAAAATGGTGTTAAATATGGTTCGTTGGCCGGTGTAAATTCAAATACTAAAATGGTGTTAATTTAACTTTCACACAGTATTAAAATAAATTTTACTTGGTGTAAATTGAACTCCTTTTCAGTGTTAAATATTATGTGTTTGTAGACAAATTAAATCATACTACACAGAAAAAAGGAAAAAAAAGGAAACAGGAAGTTCCTTGACGCATTACTAGTGGTATTATTCCAGAAAATGAAACCTTCAACTCGCTAGAGATAATGTTTTTAGTGCGTTGCACTAACTTAAAATACTTTAAGTATTGACAGCTGTTTCCACCTATTTAAGGTCTCTTTAGTATCGAACAACTTGTAGTGTCACACCAAAGCAAAGGATTACCTCAGTTTATATATTCTTCATGTAAGTCAACAGACGCGAGATTTAAGAACATCACGTGATCCACACCGCCTTTGCCGCGATCGGTACACATTTTTAACCATAATTCATGGTGTTATATTAACACCACTTGGTGTTGGATTTTGACACCATTTTAAGATTACTTCTTACACCACAGATATTTTAAACAGTGTAGGATGTAGGGTTAGGCTGATAAAATCGCCGATAAAGATCAACTCACAATAAATCTTTATTTATAAGCAAAGATATATATTACTAATATTTATAAAACTGTTGAAATGGGACGCTGCAGCGCGCTGTAAAAAAATATAATAATTACTTGAGGCTTGATGCAATCAAAATTAAGGACCGATTGTGACGTGATCAGATTATTACAAAGGTAGAGGTCTTCGAGGAGTGGTCATGGCCATGGTCATGGCCGCTATTATGACGCAAAATATAATATTTAAACATTAAAAAGGAAAATTTATTAAACACTATTTTTTACTGTGTATAATGTTAGTTATAAAAGCAACACTTACGGCACAAATACTCACGAGACAATGTATCCTTTCTTCTGACTTGTACTCCGATAATTGCCTCCATGGGTACCTCCGTCCGCGGGATGCTTACAGCATGTGGTGGCAGGTAAATCGGCTCCAATATGCCAAATGTACACTCGCTTGATATACCATTATGACAAACCGCGTGGCACTGCAACCAAAAGCAAAATCAAGCATCTCTTTAAAATGGTCATTATGAACTATACTTGAATTATGTTTGTAATTGGGAGAAGCGCAAACGCATGAATAAACTATTTAACCTGACAGCCGGTGTAAAACTGTAGCAGGGCTATTAAATTAAAACAACATTGCGTATATTCACTCGAACCTGTTTTAATCCAACCTCAAATTAACAATAAAACAAAAACTGTTGCAGACAGGCTTAGAGCTGAGTTGAAAGCAAATTGTCTTTAGTTGAAACTGTATCTTTTATATTTATAATTGGTTAGTTAGTTGGTACATTGAACTAAAAGAATAGTCTTTATCTTACCCTAACCCAACACAAACCCTTCAAACTCCTTGTCAGTTTGCAATCAAATAAACCTTTTGAAAACATTAGAAAACCAGAGGCTTATTGTGAGGTGTCTTTAACATAATTTATTGTAGTTTGAAAGGATATATTATGCCGTGCGAAACCTATTATATCTAAAAATACGCATCATAGAAAAAGCTGTTCTGGAATCGATTAACAAAAATTTGAGTAAATTAAAAACAGCTTGGGAATTTTAGGAATACCTGCTTTTGTTAAAAATAATTATTTTTCTAACTTTTATGTTTAGCATAAAATTTACATTGAATGTACTGTTAGGCAACTAAATAAATAGTAATTTGTTTAGGAATGGCTTGACAAACTGCAAATATACAATTGCATTGCATGCAGTTGCCATATTTTTTGGCGTTTATTTCCAAATTTTCTATCGCATGGGTTAATTAATACATAGGAGGCGTATTGAAATATATTTTGAAATACAAGTAGCAGTAAGTTATTATTACCAATTACACACTGACGCACACAAAAAAACAGCCATACCCCTGGTGGGAATTGAACCCACGACCTCTCGGTTTGTAGTCCGCAGTCAAATCAAATCAAAATCAATAAATTTACAAATTAATTAATTTACATTGTATAAAAGGAGATATAGTAAAAGGCCACAATGTGGTGTTGGGGTTGGCTGTAAAGAGGCTCGTGGAAGTGAGGTTCCACCTCTTAAGCCTCCCCGCGGTGGACGTGCGTGATACGGGTGGTAGCAGTCTCCCAACGGTCTTAGTCCCTTGTACAGGGCTCCTTTTAATAACTATGGAGCAGTGCTGGCCCTTTATCGCAGGCCAGCTTAATTCGGGTAGAAAGAGTGAAGTCTTGAAAAATGAAAGGAAGAGGAATATTGAGATAGTTAGGGATTTAGAAGAATGTTGCGGGGGAAAAATAAATTCAAAAAACCACCTTAAAAAATTTGGAAAACTAGTAACAAACAAAAAGATAAAGAGGTTGAGCTACCGCGGTGTTAGTGATGCACGGTTGACGGTGCAGTTTCTTGGTGTAAAATTTGTTTGATCCATAACATACTCTTTTAGATAAGGCAGGCTTGCTGCTTCGTGCATGTCGTATGCCCGAGTTGGTGATGTGCCGAAGCGCTTTATAATTTTTTTTCGATTGACAGCGAAGAGTTTCTGATGATGAGGGGGTATATTGCTTCAAGAGCTTGGTAAAGTCTGGACGTGAGCAAAGTAATATGGGGAACAAACCTCAGTCTTCTGTCCAAGATGATACCGAGGTATTTTACAGAGCGCCTAGATACTGCAGTGTAGTTCTCTAGAGAAAGTAATCAACTCGGTTTTGCCCGAGTTGATCTTTACCTCCCATTTTTGGAGGTACGTTGCAAGAGTACGAACAATGAATATCTTTAGTTGAAGAACTGAACAATGTCGAATAAAGGGTAATGTCGTCAGCGTATAAACTAAGATTGGCCTGTGGCGTTTTCGGCATATCCGCATGTACATGGTATACTACTAAACCACCAAGGGCGGTTGTTAATTTAAATATATAACGTTACCAAAAAATTAAATATTACTCCTATGTTCATAGAAATAATTACTTTTAACAATAAGATTTTATAAAATAAGTTTAATTTTACAAAATTTGTTTTGCAGTTATCAGTGACCAAGTTTCAAATAAATTTTCAAAATTATTGCAATAATACCTAAAAAATACCTATTAACAAAAGGTAACCAATCTTATTTTTCATTGTGACTTTTTAAACTTAGCAAGAAAGTTACATTAACACCCCTATTAAGTTTAAAAATATATCTATGTAGTTAAAGCATTTTTGGCGATAGATTACTTAAAATTCGCATATTTCTGCAAGTTAAAGTCACATACTTAAGTGTCTTTAAGAGAACATTTTAAAGATTTTACAAAATAATATTTGTTTATTCAGTGAAAAGATGTAATGTGACGATGTATGTGACGCGCTCCGAGAAAACGAATCTTAGATCCAAAAAATGATTTTCTAGATTATGATTATTTTAAGTCGATTGGTAGACAATCTTTCGAAAAGTCCAATAAGGATACTGAGCGAGCTTTAATCACTTCTTCTGTAAAAAAATTTTGTACTGTATTCTGGCATTGCACTATCGAACTTTTTTTTATGAGGTCACTTTAAATCTGTGATTTACAAAACTTAGCCTTATTCTAATAAATATCTGCAACAACGAATAGTTTAAGAATGCCGAACTATTTCACTACAAAATTTCAAAATGTTCGAAGAGGATTAAGGAATAGCCTTACAAAATAATGGGAATAATTTTAAGCATTTAATTTAGAGCTAAAAATTAAATTGTTTTTATTGTTGTTAAACAATTTGTTCATTTATGCTTTTTTGTTTATTTACCTTTTATTAGAATTATTGTGTTCTCCAGCTTCTCATTAATGTTTTTCGACCTTATTTGCAATATAATGCTTTAATAAGGTATTTGTAACAAGAAACTGGATTACATAACTTTGTTATTCCTAATTTAATGAAAAAGTATTTTATTAAGTACTGTTAAATAGCAATTTTTAAGAGGTTTCTAATGAGGTATCACAAAGGGGATGTTGCCATTTAAAAAAAATGAATTCGGGCGGCTACAGCCCCAGGGGTTGCTAGTGAAGGTCATTTTTGTGGCCACATTGATTTCCCCTACATATCCGCAAAACAGTTTTAAGATTTTTTTAATATCTATTTTATTATAATAGAGTATTACTCTTTTTTAAATGGACTCCTTGTATATACTGAATCTAAGATTGAGTGGTAACATAGGTTTACGGTTTGTTGGTTTGTGTTGATTGGAAGTGGTTCTTATACATTTCTTATTTCAATACTGGGATTGTTGAAAGCGTTTAGGTTATTATGCACTGATTGTTTAAAGTGTCTACAAAAGCAGATATCTTACTTTCCTATTTGCTTTGCTTCATCCCACAGAATGTTGTGATATTGATTCCAAATATGTTCTGCAACTCCTGATTTTGCCGTCTTAGCTCTTCGTGTATGTGTCTTGTGTTTCTTAAGTCTTGATCCAATAACTTCTTGGTCTCCCCTATATACGACTTCTCACATTTACATAGTTTCTGGTAAATGCAATGTCTTGTGTCTTTTTGAGATTTAGGTTTTGTTTTTGTTTTGATAACATATTGTGGGATAAATAAAGACGTCTAAAATTCACCGGTTTATCATTCCAAAACATTATCTACCAATGTGGAAATGATATGTTCACATATTATCGATATGTAACGTAACATTTACAGTTTAAATATGTTCCTATGTTAAGTTAGTCCATTTAGAGTATCAGCACGTTTAAATGAGATACAAAAATAATGTTATATTCCATCAATCTTTATTTTTCTAAAGATCAATCAATAACATTGTTAAAAAAATAATATTGTTTAAATGCCTCCTACAATTTGTCTGAATAAAGGCATTCTGGAGGCCCAATTTGCAAATACTCTTTTACACATATAGCATGGTATATTGTTAAAGGATGTTTAGAAAATTTTAACGCAAATGTTGATCAGTTCGTTTTAATTCTAGAAATTTTAACTTTATAAGCCTTAAGATAAAAATCACAAATTTTGACTTCTGATCAGGCACCATACGCACAAATAAATAGACCGAACACGCATTTAGATGGCAAATACGCACAATTTTCAAGTGCTTTGTCTGTCTATATAAATTTGACATGTACTGAACACACGCGAGGGGGTAAGAAGCAAAAGGGTACAAGTGCAAAAAAGAAAAGTGGAGTTATTAACTTTAAAGTTTTTGCTATATACAAAAATTTGGATACTTGTTTCAATATTGTTGTTTGCATTCATTAACATGCAAAACTTGTACAATTTTCACGTTATGAGAAAATTTAAAAAAAAATTTTTAACTATCCAGTTTTGCACTTATTGTTATGCTAAAATGCACTTGTACCCTTTTGCTTCCTACCCCTTCATGTGTGATCAAGATTTGACATTTACATTTCAAAGCAATCATATATTTGGACACGGTGTGCCTGAACGAAGTTTAAGTCACATAAAAATGTCGCCAAAAACTTATTGCAGTTTCTTGTTCGGGACCCTTTGGTGACTTAAAAATAAAATTTTACCAAATTCCTAGCTGCTCGTCTTTTCGAAATTTTTTGAAAATTCATGATTTTTATTTTAAATTTTTGTTTATTTTAAAGTCTACCTTTGACAGAGTACACATTTGTAAACCGATTTTTATAAAATTAGAGTATATTATTGAGGAGACGTGGAGAAGACTTTTTAATACTGTTCACTTCATTTGATATATATAAGGTGAGCCAAAGTCGCTTATTTTTAATAAAGCAAAAGCGTAAATTCATGGTTTTGGCATAACACGCAAAAAAGATTTATCCCCATTTTTTTTTAGATATTTCTACGTTACAAAATGGCATTCTTATTAACCTTTTATAAAAAAAATAGATTTTTAATAAAATTAAATAAAATAACGCTTAGAGAATATTTAAAATGTTGTTTAATTCAGGCTTTTTAGTAGTTTTGAATTTTGAACAAAAAACCGGTTAAAGTTTTATGATCGGCACTCTTTGGAGATTTTTTTGAAATTTGTAAAAAATTCATTTTTTTTTTAAATTATTTGTTTATCGCAAAGTCTACCTTTGCCAGAGTACACATTTGTACACCGATTTTTATTGATTGCAGTTTCTTGTTCGGGACCCTTTGGTAACTTAAAAATAATATTTACCAAAATCCTAGCTGCTCCTCTTTTCGAAATTTTTTTAAAATTCATGATTTTTTAAAAGTTTTGTTTATCTTAAAGTCTACCTTTGACAGAGTAAACATTTGTACACCGATTTTTATAATATTGGAGTAGGTATATTGTTAACGAGACTTGAAGAATACTGTTTTCATACTGCACATCATTAGATTTATACAGGGTTAGCCAAAAAAAGCATAATGCACAAAAAAGATTTATCTCCAAAAAATGTTATTTTATTTAATTTTATTCAAAATCAATTTTTCTTATAAAGAATTCCATTTTGTAGCCTGATAAACATAAAAATATCTAAAAAAAAATGCGTGGGTATATATCTTTTTTGCGTGTTTGCCAAAATCATGAATTTACGCTTTTCTTTATTAAAAGAAGCGATTTTTGGCTAACCCTGTATATATTAAATGATGTGCACAGTATTAAAAAATATTCTCCAAATCTACTTAGCAATATACTCCAATATTATAAAAATCGGTGTACAAATGTGTACACTGAGAGAAAAAGAATGTTAAATCAACACTTTTGGCGGTTAAATACAATCAATCTTTTCTGGGGGTTAAATTAACTATCGGGGAGTTAAACTAACTATCTAGGAATGTTAAATTAACTATAGTTAGTTAATTTAACATTCGTAGATAGTTAGTTTAACTCCCAGATAGTTAATTTAACCCCCAGAAAAGATTGATTGTATTTAACCGCCAAAAGTGTTGATTTAACATTCTTTTTCTCTCAGTGTACTCTGTAAAAGGTAGACTTTAAGATAAACAAAATTAAAAAAAAAATTATGAATTATCAAAAAATATCGAAAAGAGGAGCAGCTAGGATTTTGGTAAATATCATTTTTAAGTCACCAAAAGGTCCCGAACAAGAAACAGCAATCAGTTTTTGGCGGCATTTTTATGTGACTTAAACTTCGTTCAGGCACACCGTGTGGAGTTAAAGTTGTGACGCTCTTAATGCAAAACCTTTTAGTAGTTTATTAACATAATAGTGCAGTTTTATGTTAAATTTATATTAGATAAGTTTTAAATTAAACTTTCTACTTTTTTATATAAACTACCTAAATGAAAGACTGTTACAGTGTTTCTGAACAGGTTGTATATAAATTAGTTATGTTCATGAGAGTAGGACTAGAAGAAAGCTATTGCGGTACTTACAGTCATTCCGCACCATTCGCATCGATAGCCGGAAAGGCACTCGATGGACGAGCAGGTTTTCTTGCAGAGGGCACATTTGGAGTTTGTTGGCAAGTTCCCTTCCCGCCAGTGGTGTTGATGGTGAACGTACACCAACTGCTTCCCCGGAAGATACGTCGCGTTCTCCATGCAGTCAGCCACAGCAAAATCCTGGCATTCAATGTGCACAAAGTAGTCGCATACTAAAATTAAAAAATAAACGAAAGAAATTAAAATATTTTAAAAGGTTCTGTAAGGTAGAGTAAATGGAAATTGATTGTGTAAGGTATTTAATAGCTATTTGTGTATTAAGAGCGCAAAGTGATACATTGCCGCTCTGAGCGAGAAGTTTGACGTGCGACGCGTAGCGGAAAAGTGCAACTTTGGGCTTTCTTCTGGAAGCGCAAATTTGTACTTTTCGCTTGGTTGTAGAAAAAAGTATTTAAAATTACCTATTTGAAAAATTTAATAGTGTTTAGTCACAAGATTAATAATAATAATATTGAAAGGCTATAATAATAATATATTATATATGGTTTTATAATAGTAAATTGTGCAACTAGTTTCGAGCACGGAGTTTGCTGCACGAGCATAGCGCTTAATACCTTTTTACAAAAAATTAGTGTTACAATGATAACAATGTGTAACAAAATTTGATTTTTGTTTTTTTAATTGGATTTTTTTTTAATATTATCAATATTTGCCAAAGAACTATTTTAACTTAATTTGAAAAATTTAGTGATGTTTTTTTAAGTGATATTGATATATTATAATCAAACCCAGTTTTATTAAAAACAAACAAATTAATGACAAGAAATAGCAAGAAATTAAACTCAGAATTATTATTTTAACAAAACATACAATCCAGAAAAATATTTAACATAGATTTTAAATCTTGAATAAAAAAAGTAAAAATTCCTGCTTTCACTTTTGCAATTGTACGACTAGGAAACATTAATCCAATAAAGTCAAAAGCAGGTGAGTTTGTGTCCAGAGCTTTTATATTTTATTTATCCAGTCCTAGTTTTATATGCAATGGTGGGAGTAATATTTTTTCCCTAATAACTAGAGGCTCATTAATTAGGTTGTCCTTTCCTGGGGTAAGATTTTCTCTTGCAGGCCACATGCATCTCACATAGTGTTCTTTATCCGCTTGGCTATCCCACTTACACAAAAAACAGGAATACTTGGTATAACCACCTTGCAATCCCCGAAGGAATTCTAGCATTTTAAAATATTGATGATATTGGGTTTTCTCGAGGAGGACATTAGCGTAATCTGCCTTTAAATGTGCCGAATATGCAACTGGTATTAAAGGTAGTTTATTTCCATTATGTAATAGAACTGCCTTTAAACTGGACACGGCACTGTAAATAAATAGACGTCATTGCTTAGTATCATGAACTAACCCAATTTCGTTAAAGAGCTCATTAACGTTTACGCAAAAGCACAATTGGTCGGCATGAAAACAAGAATAGTTCTGGTGTCTCTTTCGGTAAGTAAATGTACATTCTCGTTCAAGAAAATTCCATACTTTTAGTCTTGATCCAAGAATTTCAGATTTTTCTTTAGACCCTAATCTGTTACCAAATCATTTAACCTTTGCTAATTTATTAAACGGGGCTCATATTCTGGAATATATTCTGTGTCTTTGTCTCATTTGTCACTATTTTTATTCTCAATCTCTTTCAAAAAAGGTTCTGAATCCATAGAATTTTTGGAAATACTTGGTGGAAGTGGTACAGGGAGCAGCTGACTATGTAAAACTGGTGCACTGGTGGATGGTAAATCAGGATAAGCAATATTTTTACGATTAGATTTCTTTTTGTAAGTTTTGAGGTCAAAAACACAGAAATAGCAATCTGAAATGTGATTGGTAGGCTCCCTCCATATTCTAGAAATACCAAAGGGCATTTTTCTTTTTTCACCTCTATATCATGCCTCTAAAGTAGATCTGCAGCTGCCACAAATACACGTAATGACATTTGAAAATTTGACAGTTTGAAAAAACAAATGTATGTTACGTAATCGGTGGCATGGCTACTGCGATTTGTGAAATAAAATTCAGATAAACAAATATCATTTCTCATAGTGTAATTATTTAACTGCATTATGTTATATAGTTGAGTATGCATGAGTATGAGTATAAGAGATAACCGGCCCCATTGCCTCATAACTCTCGGACCCCGCACAGGCCTCTGTTACCTTACGCCGATTTTCTTCCGCCACCAGCACCGACACGGCTTCACCTGTACTTGCTGGGTGCGAATGTCCATTGCCCTATTTGGGGCTCGAGAGCGAAATGCCAATAGATTTAATAGCCATTCCCGGGTTCGCCGGGCCGATGCTATACGCCCAGTAGGATCATGAAGGAGGTAGGACAGGGGGGGTAGACATTTTGGTGTTCAGGGGACAATTACGCCGACGCAAATCTGCATACGACGCGGAATCGCCCTAGACCGGGAAGGTAGTATTACCCCAAACATTTGGGATTACTGTTGCGGAGTTGGAGAGTTGTTAGTTCGCTGCAGGGGCCTAGTTTACTGGTGGTGGTCAACGTTTTGAATGTTATTGACTGTGTTCGGATTGTTTCTGCACTTGGTATTGTCTTGTCTCGGCTGTTATTTCTTTCGCGTTGCGATCCTATCTCTGTATTGAACAGTTGGTGTACAATTGATGCGATTAGGCAGTTACCGGTGGGAGGTATTTTTTTACTTTTACTGCATACTAATGTAATTACCAATTTCATTAGAATTCGGTTTGTTTGTTTATATTTTGTGTTTATGTTTTCTTAATTTAATGTTCGTTTAGAATTTCTAAGTGTCAAGTGTTTATATGGTATCGTTTCGTTTAACGATTTGTTTGCCCCCAGCCGTTATCTTTAATTTATGGGTTTAGTCTTGCTCGTTTGTTATTGATAGATTTATTGTCCTAGTCAGCTTTTCTGTGAATGACCGCGTTAAGAATTGGGGCGGTTTTACTGTGTTTTTTTTGTTGGTGTTTTGTTACTATTGTCTTAATGTTACTGGTGCACTTTGTTTATTTTTTTGGTTAGTTTTTCACATGTTTAAGCGAAAAGTGCTCGACTTAGGGGTTTTCACGGTACCTGTCGTGGTGGCAAATAATTAGCAAATAATTAGGTCATGCAGATGTTTAAGGTGACTTATCGGGAATTGCAGATGGCCCTTTTCTCCCTTGGTTATCCCCTTTTGTTTGTCTCGTGAAAAGCAATTTACTCACTATAATAGTTGTTACACTATAGATTATTTGCACTTTATAAATAATTATTGTGAGTTTCGTTTGCAAGTTTTAAGAGAGCGAAACGGTAAGATGCGACTTACTTCGACGAGTGCTTGAACGTAACTGGTGTAAAGTATGTTATATACCCAGATAGCACAAGACGTAGCAGAACGTCCATTTCGGGTCCCACATAGGTCTGAACGTCTCAGACCTATATTGGAAGTTTTGGGTACGTCCAGTCTCTTACTTATTTGGGAAAATTAAAGCGGATATACGCGGTACGTCTCAAGGACGTTTTTTTTAGCAATTAAAGTATGGTATTTCCAAAGTGTCTAATACCCGTTTGCACCAAAATATGGCTTAATCAAGATTAACTAATCTCAATTAAATTATAACCGTGATTAAATTTACCTTGGTTTGCACCATCCAATTTATAGCTAATCCTCTTTTAACTTTGATTAGGTGAAAAACGCGGAAAATGTGTGTTGGTATGTTGGTTATAACCCTATATTTTGCTGATAGGTTCGTACCACTGTGGCGTTCAAACGCCAAAAACGTCTAAAACGCCAAAACTTGTCATCTGTAGAATAATTATTTAACGGGTATATCGTTTTGCCTAAAGCGGTGTGTAAAATAATGGACATTGCAAATTAAAGAAAAAAGAGTTGAATAAATAAATTTCGTTAATCAATAGTTTAATTATTCGGTAGGTACATTACAAATTAGCAAAATAATAGTTTAAATTGTCTTCTGGCCAGCGTACCGGCCGCGACATCTTTTTGGTCGTCATAAATATTAGGAATTTGTCCTAGTGGAAAAACGCATATATTCGTTGTATAATCTTGGGATAGCTTCAGAAGACAAATGCATTCCCATATACCTAGTCACCAATTGAATCCAAATGCCACCCCCCTGTTGTGTAGAGACGAAGACATGTTAATAATTGATTCATCGGCGTAACACAATTATTTCTAAAACGACGAATGATTGCAGTTGAAAACTAAATTATTTACACTGACCTATCTGTAGGATAATCCAATTGATCTTCGATCCTCACAAGAAGCTGATACACACAGTTCTTCGTCAACCGAAACCGTTTTCGAAAAGTGCTTTGGTCCAAAGTGTCAAAGTACGAATGCCTTTCATAAATAAAACCGTTTTCAATGCAATCGACCACTTCATGTCGTCGTCTTTCACAATAGGAAATTGTAACTCATTAATTTTTTAATAAAGGTATAAAAAGAGAAGTCAACCTTTCAAAACGGCAAAATGAGGTTAGAATACTTTTTTGCCAAGCAATGGCGCCTTCTAATCATGATTTAAATACTAACCGCTCGACTATTCACCGGTTATTTAACCAACCCCTTAACCACGGTTAAGTGAATGGTGCAACGAAGTTTTCTGGATTACCCAATTTAATCACGATTAAAATGCTAACCCACGTTGGTGCAAACGGGCATAAGTGTCAAGTTTTATATTATCATTTAAAAATAGTTTGTGTCATGCAGAATGACTTAAAAAATATTCCAACATTTATATGTTCAAAATATTTGTTTTTCATTGATAACTCACAATTTTATTTTTGTCACTTAGACCCTTTGGGAATACGACTCTTCAATTATGTAGAGCTTGTCCAATAATCCCCAATAAAGTACACTCACGTGCAAAATAATCGGCCCACACAAATTTTCGATGAATTTCAATCGCAAATAACTTTTTTATTTGATGTCGGATTTAAACGAATATTAAAGAATATTGTAGATAAATTAATGGACAATCGCTCACATTTTAAAAAAATACTAAAAAATAGACGTACGTTTATAATATACAGGTTTAAACAAAAAGATGTTTTTTTACCATAAGTTTAAGACACTCTGTAGAGTGGCAAAACCGTATATTGTTCTAAATTAAGTTTTATTTATCAAGTCACATCTATTCTTAACAGTTTTGTTTTTGGTTCACCTCGATATATTTATTTTTGTGGAAAATATGGATTTTTTTAAAAAACATTGCAATTTCCAATATTTTTCCTGTATGAAGAACTAAGGTTGCTATGGTCCATCCATAGCCTATGGAGAATGACAGTGACAGTTTTGTTGAATCATCCCATACTTGGACATGTCATATACAGCTTTCAAAAGCTATCAAATTGTTTTTTGTAAATTAATGTGTTAATTTTGAGGTGTCTTCTTACTTTTAAAAATGTCTCCGACTAATGTTGCCCTTTGTACTTTACTTCTTGTGACGTTTAAAACACTTGCCAAGTAATACTGTGACCGTCCATCCTGGATTAAATTAATGGCTCTGGCAACATCAGTCGGAGACATATCCATTTTTTAAAGTAAGAAGACACCTCAAAATTTAAACATTAATTTGCAAAAAACCAATTTGATAGCTTTTAAAAGCCGTGTATGACATGTCCAAGTATGGGATGATTCAACAAAACTGTCACTGTCATTCTCCATAGCCTATGGATGGACCATAGCAACCTTAGTTCTTCATACAGAAAAATATTGGAAGTTGCAATGTTTTTTAAAAAAATCCATATTTTCCACAAAAATTAATATATCGAGGTGAACCAAAAACAAAACTGTTAAGAATAGATGTGACTTGATAAATAAAACTTAATTTAGAACAATATACGGTTTTGCCACTCTACAGAGTGTCTTAAACTTATGGTAAAAAAACATCTTTTTGTTTAAACCTGTATATTATAAACGTACGTCTATTTTTTAGTATTTTTTTAAAATGTGAGCGATTGTCCATTAATTTATCTACAATATTCTTTAATATTCGTTTAAATCCGACATCAAATAAAAAAGTTATTTGCGATTGAAATTCATCGAAAATTTGTGTGGGCCGATTATTTTGCACGTGAGTGTATTTCAGGACGGCCAGAGGATGTCTTACTTAGGACGTTCTGGGGACCGACGATTTGGTAACATCGGATGTCCCTGGTACGTCCTGGGGAAGGTTCAGGACCTGATTCGGACGTACTCGGGACTTACTAATGTCTGATACAAGATATACTCAGGACGTTTCTAGTACTTCTTTGTGCTATCTGGGTAGTTCTTTAAAAAATGTTTAACACTTACTTTCACAGTGAATGGAATCGACATCATCCATTAACCTTTTTCTACAAACATTGCAGTATTTCCTCTTGTGATGGAATGGTTCCGACCAACAATGAGCGACTGGATTCTAAAATAACAATATAAATTATTATTAAGACATTTTTTTTATATTTTGTGCTATGTTACTAATTTTATTTTAAAGATATTATTTTGGTATATATATAATAATATTAATAATAATACCCAATAATAATAATATTAATATTTTTTATATTTTTAATTTGACAAACACAATCTGTATAGGAAAAGTCAGTAAAAGTACATAGCATAAGGCAAAACTAAAATAATACATACTACATGTTAAACTTAAAAAAGATAAATAAACATTACAGGTTAAAAAATTTATACACGTCATTTAAGCTGAGTTTGAAAGCTAACGTTTCGGCTTAACATTAAGCAAAGAACAAAAAGACATTCTGGGCCAAATGGCATATAACATTTTAGTTTCAAGTTGTAATGTTTTTTTTAACCGTTCGACCACTGTCGAATTTTACCTACGAATGAAAACTAGAGACAAGAAAGTTTTTACCCCTCTCCCGTAGTATATGCCAAGACCCCCTCCCCTCCCCCTCTAGTTTTCACGTAGTAATTCATAAATATGGTTTTTAATAATTTTTTGCACAGAAAGTTTAAAAAAATTAATTTGACTCATATATATATATTTGTCTTTATTCATATTTCGCTTGCTGCGTGACCTATAATTACAAGTGAAAAAATATAATTAAGAAGAAAAACTAAAAAAACTATTTTATAGCTCGAAAAAGCGCGAGAGTATATTGACTACGTGACAAAAACCTAACCCCCTGTCCCTGTGATCAAGCGTGGTATTTTGAAGACCCCCCTCCTCCCTGAACGGGTCACGTAGTATGGGTACGTTCCCTTACTAGCTACATAATAGTATAATATACTAAGTATATTCTGTAACAAGTTTGGAATACAGCGTATTTGCTCGAGTGAAAAGTTTGTCACACGAGCCGAAGGCAAGTTTGACGGTTTAACGAGAGTGGAATATGCAATTTCAAATGTGTTTTGGACCAAACTTTTTCTACGTTTTCAAAAAAAAAAACAATAAAAAGAAATAATTTAATTGGGGGAAAGTAAGGTAGGATCGGTCTAAAAGTTGTTAGATAATAAACACAGAGATGGCCACCAGTGTTTATTTCGCTATCCGTTGATAGAATAATCCTGTAAGACTTTAAGGAATATAGTTTTAGCTTTAGATGCCACTTACTCATTTAATAAACATACAAAATATCAATATAATGTAAAGGTTGCTTATAATTAAACGTAAATTAGAAAAACAATATTAAACACTTAAATAAAAAAAATACGACATAAGGAATGTGTTTGAGGGGTCAGGAAACTGCTTTTAGGCCTTTAAAAAATCCGTATACACTACATCAACTTGAAATTTTGAATCGAGATATGAGGAGGTGGTTGGGAAGAATTTTTTTTTATATTGTTGTAAATAACAGGGTAGACGGAAGATTCAAATACCTTTGTAAAGTTTGACAATACAGCTATTGGTCTGTAATTAGTTAGATCACAAGGATCACCTAATTTTAAGATCGGACATACTCTGGTTAGTTTCTAAACATTTGGAAATTTACTCGTTGACAAATTGAGATTAAATAAAATAAGTAAAGGATAAACCAAGATATGCAATCTTTTATAAAAAAGTTGGGTTCTTGGTCATCACCACAAGAAGAAATATTTTTAAGTTTTGAAATTGAATTTAATAATTTATTGACAAAAAATATTAATATGCCATGTGGAGTTATTTAAAAAGTTGCTTATACATTATATAGGGGAGGGGTGGTAGGTATTAGTATAAACGCTATTAAAATATTGGGCGAAACCATTGACAGCATCTTGAGGAGAGTCATATTTCATATTCTCATAAAAGAAGGGTTTTAATCATAATTTTAAAATTTTTTTTAAACAGATCTACAAAAACTAAAAGAATAATGGTAATCAAAAAATTCAAAGAAATCAGGATAACTTTTTAGGATAACTTGGAGCTGAATATAATTATATTCATTCATATTCTCATAAAAGAAGGGTTTTAATCATAATTTTAAATTTTTTTTTAAACAGATCTACAAAAACTAAAAGAATAATGGTAATCAAAAAATTCAAAGAAATCAGGATAACTTTTTAGGATAACTTGGAGCTGAATATAATTATAGAAAGGTCTAATGGCAAGTGGATCTTCATTCAATATTTTACATAAAACAAGCTCACAAATATAGCTAAATATTCAAAATTCTTTTTTTCTCCAGTTGTTAAAGAAAACTGATTTTGGAAACAGTATATCTTTAGGACATAAATGGCTTTTGACATGTAGGGCTAGGACCGCATATTATCCACCAATAAACAGAAGATACAATCTTAAATATGTCCTATAATCGTCTCGTGGTTGTTTTTTTTTAAGATTTTATTTTCTTAAACTATTAAATAAAGGAATTTAAAACTTGCCAATATTATCTGTGCAATCAGTAATTTGATCAATAGTTGGTTGCGCTTTCAGAGAGTGGTTGAAAAGTCTTCCATCAGTCTTCCATCAGTACTTTGTTTGGAATAACATTTTTCTACGCCTATTACGGAATATTACCGTTCTAATATTTGTTTTTAATGTGAAATTACCTAGGTACATTATAATACTTTGGACCTATCGGGTAATTGCAAACTAACTTATTTTAAAATCATCATAGTCGCATGTCGTATAAAATCTAATATCTGTCAAATGGTTTTAACCTCACTTTCTTCTACTTTTTATTTTTCCATTTATAATCAAGTTTTAAATAACAGGGTTTTTATTCACAGTAACTCATACTCAAACTCAAGTAATTTTCACTAGCTTGAAAAAGTATAGTCTAAAACCCGCCTTCGGCTCGTTCGGAATATGCTGTATTTGTTAGAGAATATATTATTCTGTTGCTTTGTTTTATTGTTAGTCAGATTCAAGTTGGAAAACGCATTTAAAATTATACCTGTAAAATGTTAAACATAGCATCACGAAAACAAAAGACAATTCAATAGTCGCGAATAGACATATCAATAATAGAACAGTATAAACAATAGCGCGCATATATGCTATATAGATTACTTTATGAAATCATTGTATTGAACAAATAGAAAAAGGTCCAAGATGTAAATTTATAATCTACTATGAAATATAAAATTTGTTAATTTTTGCAAAAAATAATAAAAACAAAATTATTTTTATAAAACAATATAGTAATGTTAGAAATAAAATAAAATATAAAGTGGACAAAAATCAAAACAAATTAATAGTTATTTATGTCATAAAGCTGAAAAGTGAGTATTCTTTTGCTGAGCTCAAAATTTGAATGCCGAAGCGTAGTGGATGCCTAGTAGGTTTTTTGATTGAAGATGGGGGGCTGGGGGTCTTTGCTTTGCTTTGCTTATTTTTGATGACATGGGGGTGGGGGGGTCTAGATGGTGATTACGTCAGCAGTAGTTATTTACTTTTTTAAACATATGGCAACCCACACATTGTCTTTGCTTGAAAACGAAAAGAAAAATGTTATACCAATGTTTACGTAAGCATGAGAGAGAGGGGGGGTAAGAGCTTTAATTACTTTTGCCGATAAGGGGGCAGGGGGGTAAATAATTGTAGTAAATCTGCTTACGTATTACTTGAACAAATGGTTGACAATAAAAAAGCTTAAATTATAGAACGCTTGAAGATAATACTTATTTATACCATTAAGACAAAAAGGAACTTTTTGGCCGAATGGCATACAACATGTTATCTTAAAGGCACTTTGTTATCTGTATTAAGTAATGAATTACCTAACCCGGTTGATCTAAACCATTTTTAAGTGCTTAAAGATAAAAAAAATATATTTATATTTAATTTTCTTATTGTATTTTACCAACTTATATTAAATTTTATAGACTAACTTTATTTTGTGTCTAAAAATATTTTGAAGAATATTGTTGAAAATTTATAGTTTTTTGCTAATAAAACTATAAACTCCATTGCACATTAAACATAAAATTTGTTTAACTGGTTTTGTACTTTCCGACCGATATCTAAATCGACCTATTTTTGGGTGGCTAGTTTTTAATATATATATTATTATTAGAAGTTCAAAGCTACAAAGTTATTTATTTAGTTATTTAGCAAATTATTGCAATTTTTTCCTTTAATTAAAATGGTAAAAACAAAAAAACAATTGAACGTCGGGTTTCCGAAATATTCACCAAATTAACATTTATTTAGAGATAACTACAAAAAACTTTGTTATTAATTGTTTAGTCGGACAGCATCGAGCCATTCCATGCCAAATCAACACACTTTAAAAAGAAATGTTTCCTCACCATTTCAGATTTTCCTAAAATTTGATATACTTATACTATGTACTAAGACTAAGAAAAATACCAATTTTTAAATTTTTATCTCACACCGTTTCCGATATATGGCTATGTAAAGTTTTTAAAAACTCGCGAAAAAAGTGTGAACGTTTATTTTTTAAATTGCGCTGGAAGCTGTCCTAATTTAGTTAGAAAGCTGGGAGTCATTTTGCAGCATTTTAAATGCTCTTTCAAATGACATACGACTGCCAAGGGTATTAATGAAAAGATTTTGTTCAAAATCCATATATATATTTTGATTTAATTTATTTTTAAAAGTACATAATTTAAAATTCTCAAAATATTTGTATAAATACTCGGTAGTGTTCTGAATCATATAACAAAATATTAATGTGGGGTCTTAATGGGGTGTTAAAAAAAATATTTCTGATGCTGGTTTTTCACTTTTAACTAATTTTGACATTATTCAACGTTTATCAGGCTTAAGCCTGACAATTGTATTTTTTTTATAATATCGGCTGTCATCATTCCCGACTTGTGTAATTTAATTACTGTGATACGCTTGTTTTGGCGATTCATATTGAGCTAAATTTTAAACAAAACAACATAAAATGAATATTTTCAAAAATATAAGGGTTCTAAGAACCCTAATAATATCGGCTGCCTACATTCCCGACTTTTTTAATTCAATTACTGTGATACGCTTTTTTTGGCGATTCATATTGAACTAAATTTTAAACAGAACAACATAAAATGAATATTTTCAGAAATGAAAGGGTTCTAGGAACCTGCTCGAGCAAACAATTTCCGCGAAAACCTTATTGATAAATTTTAAACTCGCTTAAATAAAAATTCAGTGAACTTTTATCGGACCCTGTATATATTCGTAGTTTATTTAAAAATAAAACTATAAATGAGGTGTGTTTAAAGAGATTTTGGTGTCAACATGGAGCCTACTATTGTAAGAGTGCAGTCATATAATCCAATGAAAAAAACAAATCATTTTATTAGAGACAGAAAAATACTGAGAAAAGTCCCAGCATGGATGACTGGATTATTTCCACAAATGCCTATTGGCTCCATGATTTGTCATACCTGCAGGAAAGATGTAAAGAAACTTAAAAATAATGAGCCAAGTACTAGTGCTAAAAATGCTGAAGCTGAGGATTCTTCTGGATCGGAGGAACTCATCCATGGCGATGACCCTGCCTTCACTTCAACTTCAACGGCTGTTGAGTTACTTAACATATCACTTCAAGAGCTAGGTGAGTCCCCCATCGACTTAAAAAAAATTACATCTAAGCACTATGCGACAAAGAAAGTGAAAAAAATCTCTTCAACAGTGAAACGTAACCTTTTTGTTGCTGCTGAAACTTCTTCATCGGATAATGAAGATGATATTGATGAATCAGTTGTCCAAAATCTAAAATCTAACTTTTTATGTTCTACAGATAGGACGAAAAAAATAATGATACTTACAAGTTTGCCGGAAAAGTGGAGTATCAGGAAGATAATGAGAGAGTTTAATCGGCGAACAAAAAAAATTTTGAGAGAAAAGGGGTTTATGGAAGGTCCAAACCCCAAACCAGGCAAATATTTACCATTAGAAACAGTAGAAAATGTTTATTCGTTTTATGAAAGTGATGAAGTAAGCCGGGCAATGCCGGGTATGAAGGATTGTGTAACAGTTACTAAACCAGATGGAAGTAAGACTAAAATTTCTAAAAAACTTATTTTGTGCAATCTTAAAGAAGCTTATAAACATTTCAAAGACAAGTTTCCTGACATTAAAATAGGTTTCTCTAAGTTTGCTGAGCTGAGACCCAAACAGTGCATTTTAGCTGGGCAAAGTGGCACAGACTCTGTTTGTGTGTGCACAACTCATCAAAACATTAAGTTTATGATAGAAAATGCAAAACTTAATATATTAACAAATGGAAACCTAAAAAATTACAAGCAATGCATTGCAAAAATGCTTTGTAACCCATCATCAATAGCTTGCAACGTGGGAAATTGCGAATATTGCCCTGGAGTAACTGAAATCCATAAAATGTTACAAGACTCTTTCGATGAAAATTTTAGTTCAATTTCGACAGTGGGTATCGGTTGACCGATGGAGACCTTGGAAAAAACTTCCGAAGAGTTTATCGATTTATTTTGTAGTAAGATGTCCGCTTTGGTTAAGCATGACTTTATCGCCAAGCAACAAGGAGTATTCCTTAAAAACACGAAAGAAAATCTTCATGATTCACAATTTGTCGTTACTTGTGATTTTTCCGAAAATTATAGTATAGTTCTTCAGGATGAAGCACAGAGTTATCACTGGACAAGCCAACAGATTACGATTCATCCTTTTGTTATATATTACAAACAAGAAGACAACATTGAACATTTGAGCTTTGTTATTATTTCAGAATGCTTACAGCACAACACAGTAGCTTTTTATACATTTCAAAAGAAGCTCATTTGTTATTTAACAAACAAATTTCAAAAGCTTCCAAGAAAGATATCTTATTTTTCTGACGGTTCGGCCGCTCAGTATAAAAATAAGAAAAACTTCCTGAACCTTTGCCTTCATGAGGAAGATTTTAACATAAAAGCTGAGTGGCACTTTTCAGCAACAGCACATGGGAAAGGACCATGCGATGGAGTAGGCGGTTCTGTTAAAAGGCTGGCAGCTCGCGCTAGTTTGCAAAGGCCATATGACAACCAAATCCAAACCCCACAAGATCTCTTTGAGTGGGCAGTAGAAAACATACCAAAGGTAGATTTTGCCTTTTCCACTCAAGAGGATTATGCTGTTTCAGAAATGTTTCTGGAAAGACGTTTTAAACAAGCACTAACCATTAAAGGAACACAACAGTTCCATGCATTTATTCCCAACACTAAATCAGAACTACTAGTGAATCACTTTTCAGATGAAATGCAGGGTTGGGAGAGGAATGTGGCTAAACCAGTGGACACACTGAAGTTAGAAGACGTTTCAGGCTATGTCACCACTGTATATGACAAAAACTGGTGGCTTGGCTATGTTTTAGAAAAAGATGAACAACATGATGAAGTGAAAATAACTTTTCTTCATCCTTGTGGGCCAGCATCATCATTCTCTTACCCTAGACATGCAGATGTCCTATGGCTTTCCGTTGTGGACATTCTAGCACGAGTGAATCCTGTTACACCAACTGGAAGAACGTACGCTCTTGGAGGAAGTGATGTGAAGCTAACTCAAATTGCATTTTCAAAAGTTAATCAGTAAACAAGACAATCTTCAGGGGTATTTGCCTACTTTTTTTAAATCAATACTTAATTTTTACATAGGTTAGTTGGTGTTCGTAATTTATACTAAACTAGTTGTTGTTAGTACCTACTTGGGTTCCATGTTTAGTTAAACACCAGGTAACACATATTATATGTAAACAAGCGTATCTTAATTTATGTTTTTTTTAATAAACCCATTATAAGTTAATGCCTCATTTAAAAATTTCTAATTGGACTAACTTTTTAAAGGAATATTTTAAATGTAAAAAATTATGTACCTTTTGGAAAAGCCTCGAATAAAAATTACCCTAGTGTTTAAAAAATACACGTTCACACTTTTTTCGCGAGTTTTTAAAAACATACATAGCCATATATCGGAAACGGTGTGAGATAAAAATTTAAAAATTGGTATTTTTCTTAGTCTTAGTACATAGTATAAGTATACCAAATTTTAAGAAAATCTGAGGTGGTGTGGTAAAATGGGTGTGTTGAGTTGACATGGACTGACCCCATCCTCAAATTGATCTTTCGACGTTTCGTCATCAGAAAATGCATCATCATAAATATCAATCTGAAGTGCTTTGAACTATTTGAGAAAAACGAATTTTGACAACTTTAGACTGCTGGAAATACCTGATTAACAACTTTCTAAGGCAAGTTCCATTTTTTAGGCATTGTGTAAATCCATTAGAAGAAAATAAGATAGTTCAAAGCACTCTAGATTAATCTTTATGATACATTTTCTGATGACGAAACGTCAAAAGGTCAATTTAAGGATGCTGTCTGAGAATTTCCTCAGGAATCCAAATATGTAAAAATGTATAGGGCATTTCATTTAAAAATCGAAAGTTGGTATCATTTCCGGCAAAACCGGAAGTTCAAAAAATTCATTTTGTACTCTTATAAGTGGAATTTATAAATAAAAAAGTTACAGGGTTCCTATTCTCAGATACACCCGGTATATATCTGTATTTTATTTTTTATATACCTTATTCTCCCAAGTATGATTCAATATATTTAATAAAACAAGTAAGTAAACAAAACGTCACAAGTCAAAGTCACAAAATACATAGTTCATTTATTAATTTTTCATAAAACTTTTTTTAAACGAGCTTGATGTGAGGAGAAATCTTTACAATACATTAAATAAAGAAAGAAAATAATCATAAATCAATGAATTTGCTTCTTACATTGTTCAAGTCTTTCATGAAAGATTTTTAATGTATTTGTTCCTTACTTAAAAAGTTACCAACTTAAACCATTTAAAAACCATATAAAAAAAGTCATACTGCTGCATCCTGCTTTATGTTATTTTTTATGTTTCTTAATATTACCTTGATCTGGCTGGCGGAGACACTCGAGCACGGGGAAACCACGTTCTTGAGGCAGCGATCATGCACTACGAAGTTGCAATCTGCAAAAATAAATTAATATAAATATTATACTCAAATAATAAAAGTAAAATAACACTGGACAAAAGCCATTTTGCTGATAGGTAAGGATAAACTTTTATAGGGTAATTTGGTAAATCAGTTCTTGTTTCGCGATATTGTAAAAAAACGTTTTTTCGATTGGAAAGCATTCAAATTCGTATATGTGTATATATATATATATACAGGGTGTCAGCTAATAAATTGTCATCCTTTGAGGGAATAATAGTACACTCCAAAACAAGAAAGTTTTTCCTCTATCATTTTTGCATTAGAGCTACTGTTTTTAATAAAAAAAATATGAAATTGTTTTGACAAAACCAGGGAGCCACTGGATGTCACTGACCTATCCTATATATCATCATTATTTTTACCTCTAAAAAAAATTATATTATTTTAAAAGTGAAAAGTAAAATTTAAATTTGACGGAAAAAACACAGAAACCTTGAACTACCTAACCTGTTTTATTTAAAGTACCTAAAAATAGCTGAGGATGCAAAACAAAAAACAATTATCAAGAAAGTTATCAATTAAACCACAAATTTAAATTTTTAATTAATGTAGATTATTGCCCACTGAGCAAGCATATTTTGCGTCAGTTGTCATAGGTCAGAAACAACCAGTGGCGGCCCAAAATTTCTACTTTACTTATAAAATGACACTAATGCAAAAATGGAAAAACTTTCTTATTTTGGCGTGTACTATCATCCCCTTAAAGGATGACAACTTATTTGGTGACACCCTGTATATATATATATATATATATATATATATTAGGGTGTCCCAAAAAAAAAGAATATTTTTTTTCTTCTCGTCTCTTGTGAAAATATGTTGGTTTGTCATGTTTTAAGAGCCCTGTCAAAAGATCAGCACCATTAAAAAATTTTTAGGGGTCGCTCAAGATTTTTAAAAATTACCAAAATCGTCAAAAATTTGATTTTTTTTTATTTTATTTTTTTTTTCTCTTTCCGATATTATTTTTTAATTTAAAAATAATAATGATTCTGAAAATTTCAAATCGATATTTTAATTTCTAAAGGTCGCTCAAGATTTTTTTAACTTTCAAAGTAGAGTATTTTGAATGTTTTCGAGCGACCTCTGAATATAAATATCAACGAACTTTTAGCGACCCTTAGAAATCAAAATATTGATTTGAAATTTACAGAATTTTTATTATTTTCAACCTAAAAAATAATATCGAGACGAGAAAAAGAATTAAAATAAAACAAAAATTCAATTTTTTACCATTTTGAAAATTTTTTAAAATCTTGAGCGACAAAATTTTTAATCGAGCTGATATTTTGAAAGGGCTCTCACAGCATGATAAACTAACATATTTTTACAAGAGACAAGAAAAAAAAATATATTCTTTTTTTTTGGGACACCCTAATATATATATATAAATATATTTTTTTATTTAAATACTTTGACCTAGGATACTGAATAATATAGCTATGGGTCCTAAAGAAACCAAAAAAAGTTATAATATTTCTTAAGTTATTCCCAATAGAAACGAATTAAAATCGGGTTAAAAAATTTTCCTGGGATATCAAATGAAAAAAACAGACCAATTAAGCAAAAACCTATAACAACCTTTATGCTTTAAAAGTTTGCTGTTTCATGCTCATTATATTTCATAGCAACGCATTTTATAATAACATACATAATTGTAGTGAAAACAAATTGGTGAGTGGTAGGTGCTACAACCGTGATCTTAGGTTTATTAGGAAACTGTACGGAAGAGCCTCTTTATATAAAAATAGGTCAACAATTTCCAACTCGTAGTAGCAGATGTCCTAAAGGGTAACTTGCCACTGGCTGAGTAAGATATTACGCCAATAGCTGCTTTTCTTCCTCCGACGACTACATGGCGCTGCTTTGAGTGTTATGTTTTTATTAAAAATATCAATAGTTCTCTTCTTGCTATAGCAAGAATATACAAACTTATTAGAATAAAAAGTGAAATTAATTGTGGGGTATTTATACTTTAAATAAACGCATTTTAATTTAAATTACTTATTAATAAAACCGTTAGTTAGGAATTTTGTATCAATATACACTGAAAGAAATACTAGGGTTAATAATTATTAACCCTTAATTATAATTAATAAATATTTATAATAAATACAGAAAATTTTATTTACTAACAATATATTCTTAAATTTAAGTTATTTAAAAAAAAATATATTTATTTGGGTATAATTTATTTGTAATTAATATACTAAATTTGTGCCAAATTTATTAATTTAATGTAAATATATATTATATTCGTATTTAGTTCACAGTTTATTAATAATAAATATTTCTGATTAATAAATAGTTACCAAATTAAATAAGGCATATTTTATAACTATTAAATCTATATTGTTTGGAAGAAATAAGATATATTAATAATTAACAAATGGAATATCGTAACGCGTTGTTCAAACTCAGACCATTCCCTCCACTTTAAAATGCCACGTAGTGGGTGGTTTACATCTTTGCTCATAAGGGTGGTGCTGGTTTGTGCTCTGTGCTTTTGCATCATTTTTCATATAATAAGGAAATTTGTATTGCGGTATAAATTGTTGCAGTGATTGTGTAAGTACATAATATTATTTTTCTATGGTGTTGAATGCTAACAAAAAAATAGGTCCTTAAACATGGATGTTGACTTGGACATAATAAATTTTAAACTTTCAATGCTGTTAAACGGTTTTGGAGATCTAGCTAATACTTTTAAAGGTAAGTTTATTAGTTATTAAAAATAATAATAATTGGTGCCTTGTTATTTCGTTGAGTATTGGCTGGATTTTGGCGCCGTTTGTTTCAAGATGTTTCCACGTGTTGAATACTAGCACGACTAACCGATTAATAATAATTAAAGTATATTTACAATTACTTCACTTGTCAATTATTAATCGAATGACTTTAAAGGAAATCAGGTTAAATTTATTATTAATACATTTTTTTAGATAATGGAATAGATTTTTTTAAAGTATTAGCAGACATGGCATGTGATGAATATAGTTTTAAAGGTTATATAATTATTATCCTAGTTTATTTATGTTTTTTTAAATAATAGGTCTATGAATATAATTTTAAAGGTTTTAAAATATTAGATTTTATAAAATATATATAGCTATTTACATACCATGGGAGGAAAATATTGCATTTCCTCCCGCGAATAGTTTGATGCCCGACGCGAAGCGAAGGGCATTAAATATTCAAGGGAGGAAATGCATTTTCCTCCTGAGGTATGTATATAGTTTTTTCTATTACCTTTTAACGGTTTTAAGACATTTTAAGCGTTCCGGTTCCTTTTACTTACCCGGTATGGGGCTAAAAAATTATGACAAAATATTAAGTAGGTTTTGCGTCGCCGACGTTATGTTGACAACGCTTTGTTGCTATGGTATTTTTGGTAATACCAACATAAGCTGTCATAATGTTTATCATAAATTTAATAGTTGCAATTAATTTCCTTCCTTAAAAATCTAAAATAGTGAATATGAATATAGTTTGTTAAAAGAATGGTTTGACAAGCGCGGAGTAAATCTTTTTCCTACAAAATCAAATAAAGCTAGACAAGGTACAAAAACTCTTGCCAATGTAAAATTTAAAAAAAAAAGAGGGAGGATTTTTTTTTCCTCCCGGGGAGGAAAAGAGGCATTTTCCTCCCTCGCTCGGGGGTGGAAAAATAAGTTTTCTAGTAAGGTAGTAGAAAAAATATATTTACTTCGCTTTATTAATAAAATCATTTTAAAAATCATCCAAACTGAAGAACATTTTTGGTAAACATATCGTCAACCTCACAAAGGGATATATAATTTTAAGAAGACATTTTTTATAATTTTACAGAAAAAGATTTTTGAAATATTCAGGTTAACAAATTTTATAATTAATAGTAAATAATTAAGACATAACTGTGTTTGTAATAAATATGTATGTATTTACAATAAGTTTAGCATATCGTCGTCAATCTCAGAATCCCATTTTTATAATTTTACAGAAAAGCATTTTGAAAATGACTGTAATATTCGGTTTAACAATATTCTTTCATAAACATGATTAAAAAACTATGAGTAAACAGGATGCGCCAAAATCACTGGGCCAAACGAAAGGGGTCGATTCCTCGTAGAAATCGAAGACAAAATGTCCTAGACCATTTTTTAGAATTCGCAAAATTGCAGGAGTTATTTAATTTTTAAGGCCGCCAAAGAGAACGCAGTGTTTCTGCTCAATTGGGCGACGCCTGCTTTTTGACTTAACGCTCGCGACAACACGAATTTGTTTTTGTGTACTTTTTACTAATGATAGAATATCAGCGTCTTTTGAAAACACAATAATATAACAAAAACAATGCGCTCTTATTGGTGGCTCTAAAAATAAAATAATAACTGCAATTTTGCGATTTCGTAGAAAATGGTCCTGTGATTTTGGGGCACCCTTTGAAGGTATATTGCTTATAAGCCTATAGGCAAATATATTATTTTTCAACCCGAAACTAAGTAATTAAACATTCATTTATTATATGGACTTGACAGCTTTGAGTTTAAGTTTAAGTTAAGTTAAGTTTACTTAATAAAAAAGAAATATACAGGGTGTCCCAAATTGGTTGTTCGTATAGGCTATTTCATTAAATATAAATTCTAGAAAAAATTCGACCACGCATCCTCGTAATCTTATTTTAAGATAAATTGGATGGTGTCTTTGAATTTTCTTGATTAGCATTTGTTTAGGAGATATAACCTATTAATCAATTTTTGCCAATTAAGACAAATGCTTGCTGTTAATATTTAAGTTACGTATACAGGTTTAAGACACAGAGATCATTGCTGTAGACAGATCTTTTTAGCTCTTTTATCTTAAGGGATATGACCTAAAGTTGTGGTTTTTCAATGGAAACCATATTTGGCTCTGATAAAAAGTGTGTGGTAAAGTTTACAAAATAAGTTATGAAAATACAAATATTTTAATATGATGGAATGTATTTTGGAAAACAAGAATGGTGAAAA